TTGCTCCTCAACTTTCTTATTTATACTAGTTGATATAAAAATATGAAATCTCCAGATGTCATAAGCTTGAAAACAGACAGATGCTTAGAATTATTGGTTTTCCCAATGACCCCATTGCATGCAGTGCTGAAGCTGTCTGGTTTTCTAAGCAATAAGCTACTGCCGGGAGTTCACTAGCACCTCTGGGCTTGTGAGCAACAGGACCCAGCTCCCAGGAAACAATGACATAGTGTATCAGAGTTGTCTCTGTGCAAACGAGATCAGAACACTGAATAACATGGGTTTGGCGAAGGAAGTATGGTGAGGGAAGAGAGAATTCACAGCCACCTGGAATTACAGCCACCCTGAAGAAAGGAAAAAATGTTATTCCCCATTTATTATGGCATCTCGCTTTCTGAAGCTGGTTTCAATGAATACTTAAAACACAACCCTAAGGTTCCATTTTAACACCAGATATAGCATGCATGGGAGAGAACACAGTTCCTTCCCTCTAGCAATGACCGGAGGTGGATTTGGATGCTACAACTGAATGCAACATGTCACATTCAGTTCTTTTTGAAGCAGAAATTAGTCTTGAGTGATGCCAGTGAAATCTCCTTACAACAAGCCCCAGGAAAGTGGGGGAGTGCACCCCAATCTGAGCTTTCCTAATAAGTGAGTTACATGGCAACTCAGTAGGTCTTCAATAGACTCAGATACCCCATTACAATCAAGAATGAGGGTTACGTAGGATAGGGTTGCTGTAAATGGAGTTTCACTGCAGCTAGTTGCTGAAAACAAGCAATGTGTCCATCACAGGCAGTATAAGTATGAATGTCAGGGTGAAGCCAGGCTGTGACTGAAGCCAAAGCACTCGCCTTTTTAAGTACACCAAATGCCTCTCTCTGAAAGCAATCTAATCTATACTTTCAGAGGCTCACTGCTTCCGAGTTTGGACTTTAAACCTTCGGTAGAGTGGCACAGGCTTGCTAAGTGCCATTTAGGAGAAATTATACCAATTAAGAAAAGTTTGGTGTGATGACAGTGTCTGAATTCTGACAATAATTTGGACTTTGCAGAGGGAAACTCTCATCCCATGGGCAAATGGGGGCACAGAGAAGAGCACATGTGGCACACGGACAAGCACAGGGCTGTAGGGTGCAGACAAGCTTTTCTGTGCTGCCAAGGCCCCAAGCCCACACCAACACATGGTTCTTCATGGTCGCCACGTGCCCCCAGGAGTCCTCAGAACACGCAGTCTGAACGAACTCTCAGTACTTTTGTGCATGCTTTTTTCTTCTCTCTCCACAACTACTTGATCAGGGTGTCCATTATACATAAAAAATTTTGAATCTTGTATATAAGGCCAGACTCCTCCGTGTTACTGGCACTTGGATCACAAACCTGTATGGTTTCAGTATAAAATATAAAAGTATTCATATAGCTGTATCCAAGAAGAAATGAGACAATTGCTATACTGAGAATAAAAAAACCGAACCATTTTGGGCTATAAAACCACTACTACCCACTGAGAAAAGAACCCTTAGGTATAGGCTGTGTGAATTCACCATCTCCTTCAACAGTTAGTAAATAACTTCAAATGGATTCTCGAATTGGCAATTACGCCTCCACAAAATACAATGGGAATATCAGAAACGCTCTCAAAAGTTGTTAAAATATCACATAAAAGAGACAAGGAACAGCAAGAAAACATCTAAGAAAAGCAGGCTGCGATACAACAAGCATTTGTTAAGAAAGCTCAGAAGTGCATTAGTTCTGGTGAGAGATATATGAGCAACAGCTCTTACGAGATGTAGAACCCATTCTGTAACTATGGGCTGTCCATATACTGTCATAGTCAGAGTCTTCCGAGAGGTCTGAAGGCTCCAAACGAGAAAGGCTACTGCGACGACCCAAGGAGTCTAGACTTGATTGGTCATCATCAGCCAAGACGTGATTATGCATCAGGTCAGTGCCTTGCCATGCTAAGACGGGAGTGGGATGGAGTGACAGGTGTGACAGGCAAAGGTGAGATGAAAAGGAGAACGGACAGGAAGAGCCACAACCAAAAACATGAAAATAAAAGCAAAAGGTGATGGGAAAAGAAGGAAAAGAGAAAATACTGTTAAAAAAATGGCAACAATGTTCACTTCTCCTTATTTATGGCTGGGTTTTAATAACAAAGTTAGCACAACCCTTAGAATAAAACCAGAACAATTATTATTTAAATAAACCTAAAGCACAATATCATTTCCAAATTGTTCCTTTCTAAAAACATTGCTATTAAGTCCTCAGTTAAATCTTTTCAAATTAAGCCCAGTACAAATGAATCCATAGACATTTTATAAGTAACCAATGCTATTCCACGTTCTATTGACAAATAACCTCATTTAGTACATTATTTGTAAAAGGAACCATTTGTGTGGTTAATTAAAAATTGTTTCCTATCCATTAAGTGGATATTGAATGCAAAATAGGTTCAAAGGATTTTTGACTTACTTCTTCAGCTATCTCTTTGTCAGACTATAAATCATCAGAAGTCATCTTAATGATGGAGGGCTAAAACTTACCTTATGAACTATAACCACTGTAAAAATTTGAGAATGGAAAAAGGAATTAAATAGGGTCTGCTTCCCACTCATTGCCCCTTCCCCATCACCCTGCATCTCCTCTCCTTAGAGCGCTCAGCCAGTGGATATGGATGAAGTGGGAAGCCATGTCGGTTCAAATGTTATCTACCCTGATGCAGACTCTTTTACTGGCAGGAAGAGTGATATGAACTGGTAGTGCCACTATGTTAAAAGGACAAACAGAAGAAAGTAGGAGCAAAAGGGGAGAACAGAAATAAGCCCATGAGTGGTTGGCACCTGTGAGCAATGACATTGGGCAGGCAGCTGTGCATGAGACAAGCAGGCTGGAATGGATCAGGGACAAAAGGTGCTGGAAGGAAACACTCAGTGGGAACCAGCGTGCCCCTTCGTAATGGGGAATGGCACAGACAGCAATCGCTGGTCCCATCCTGTTCCTGCTTCTGACCAAAGTATTTCTATTCTAAATCCATAGCATCCAGCAATATTCTAGTTTGGCTTTCTTCAACTAAATACCTATAGTCTATGAAGGTCATTATCCCTTTGAGATAGAAATCAATACCAAAGATGTTTGGTTTATAAATGGCATCTATCTAAATGTATACCGAACTGAGCTGAATTTTAGATAAGATATACTATCTTGTCTTCACTAAACATTCAATACGAAAAGGGCTGCTTTCAACTCTGATCCCATTTCCAAATGTGTTAAGGATATCACCTTTCTAGTGCAAAGGGTCAATTTCCCCTATCTAACCTGTTCTTAAGAATGTTTGGGTAAGGCCATATGTGACTGTGTATATGAGCTGGCTCACAATATCCGTTAAATATAAAAATCAATATATTATCCAATGCTTTTCTTGCGCAGGAGAAAAGGAAACACATAATAAAAGCAACGAGATAAAGAATGATCTGCACAAACAATGAGCCATGCCTTTGAGGCAGCCAGAAGCAGCAAGGCCTCAGGCACATCACAGGCACTCACTGTCTCTTGGATGAAGAAATGCAGCGCCCACAAAAAACACATAAAGCTCCTCTTACCTAGTCTAGTCACCTGAGGCTATCAGGTTAAAATTTTATTTCAAATAATTGAAGTTGAGATGAGTAATTCTTTAACAACTCAAATTCAAAACCAAAAAATTATGACCACATTTTACATCCTATTACTTATAACACAATCTCATCAAATATATGAAACTTATGTAATATCTTAAATGACAATAATCTGGATTTACAAATGATTGCCTGATTCTATGCATAGGCACTCAACATTCAGACTTTTCCATTTCTATTCCTTCTCTACTGGCTAGTCACTATAAAAGAAGTCTTAATGTCACAGGTGGGATATGTAATGTACTGACCACAAGGAAGTTTCTAGATGATCTGCAGATGCCACTTGGGGTTTAACCCTATTAGCCCTATCTTCATCTTTAACAAAAGCTAAGGCAGTTGAAATTCTCTTTCCCACTGTCCCCCCATCTTTAGTTTAAAAACAGGACAGGACACTGATTCTAATCACCATACTAGAGGTAGTGAAAATGAAGGAGAGATAAGTGATTTGTCAAATGTTAGGGTGGAAAGAGAACCAAAAATAGAAAATTGAATAGAAACTAGTTTTTATGCCAAAAATATATAAATCATCGAGTTCTTAAAAAATAAAAGCCCTAAGAAACAACAGTACAGGATACCCTGTGATGCTTGTGGCCCTAGCACCAAAAGAGGGTAAACTTGTCCCTTTTCTTCTGAACAAATCACAAACTTTACTCCACCTACCCCATCCCTCATTGTGTTGCAATTCACCCTCAAATGCTGGGGAAGTTTAAAAAAAAAAAAAAAAGGCCCCCTTTTATTGTTCTCACAATAGATTAAGATTGTTTTCATTTAAGACACCATGCATAAGACGCAGGCAAATTCAGTGGCACTGAAATCTAATGAATTGATTGGTGTCTACTTTCAAAAATTTTAAAATACAATCATTTTAAAAAAAAAGGAAGTGGACTAAAGAAAGCCTTGTTCTAGATTTATATTTTTAACAATTGTAAAAAGCTAATAATAAAATCCCAATACCACACCAATAGTTTAAATAGGTTAAATAACTGAACTGAATAAATCTTCTGCTGATATATAAATAGATCTTCTCTAAGCTTCATAAATTCTGGCAGCACCTTATACTTAAAGATCCAGTAGAAGGTTCCAGTAGAACCTTCTCTAGAAATCAGTTATTTACTGACAGCTCAGACCCTTTCAATGATGTAGGGATGTCAGGCTCAAGCTTTTCTATTCCTGACTAGACCACAGAAGCAGCACTCAATAAGGACCCTTCACGCAGCACACAGAGGAGCCGTGCACAGGACCCCACCGCCCAGTTTCCTTCCCACTGTGATTTACAAAAAACCCGAACCACCACAATTTCCAGTACATTACTGTAAAACTTACTTGAGTTAAGTGTTTGCCGTGTTTTGGCGCTTGTGCAGTAAGCTTCAATGACTTTCAGAATCTGTGCGTCTTCTTCCAAAGCAGCTGTGCCTGTCAATACATAACAACATGGCACAATCAAACTAAAAATGACAAGTTCAACAGGTCACATCTAAAAATAACTACTACAATACGTAAGTAGAGAAATGTGAACTCATCAACTCAACCAAAATGATGACAAGATAACCCCTCCTTTTATTTTCTTGTCAGATAACTGTTTTTCCAATATTTACAAAATTACATTGAATAGAATTTTTAATTATTTAAAAGTATTTCTTGTCTGCAGCATATTGACAAAAGATTAATATATCCTCATTACATGTTATTTTACTAATCCAGAAGAAATATTCCATATCCTGAAACTGAAAAAAAGGCAAGAACTAGAAACAAGCATTTCACACACAAAAAATATGTTGAGTAACAAAAAATAGTCAATCCCACGTGAGAATTAAAACAAAGAATCAGGTTTTTCACATACCAAACTGATAACAAGTGAAAAAGCTGACAATTCTCAATGTTGATATGGATAGCGGAGAGAAAAATCTTCCCTCCATCCACAACTGGTAGGAATGAAGACAGCCGACCATATTTATCAGAGGCTTTACAAAGAACATTTCCAATGATCCACAAATTCCCTCTAGAGATTTCATCTAAGAAATTTATAAGGCACAATCTAAAGCCTGAAGTTATCATTCCAGAGCTCTTCCTTAAGCTATGGATTATTCCAGACACTGGCTTCACTCTCAGAGAACAGAATCTTCCAGACTAACAGCACCTAATGGTACTAGTTCAAGCACAGAGCCTCCCATCCAGCCTCACCTCATACTTCATATGAACCTAGGATTAAATTGTTTCTCTGGTTTGTTTTCCTAGATTTTCTATCATAATATTTGGGTATTTTAAAAAATATATATTTTTATTGATTTCAGAGAGAAAGGGAGAGGGAGAGATAGAAACATCAATAATGAGAGAGAAACATTGACCTGTTGCCTCCTGCACGTCCCACATTAGGGATCAAAAGTCTGCAACCTGGGTATAACAAAGCCTGACTGCAATTGAACCGTGACCTTCTGGTCCATAGGTCGATGCTCTACCATTGAGCCATGCTGGCCAGGCTGGATAAATTTTTTAAAAAGCTCACCTACTATGTTAAAAATGTAAGAAGAATGGAAATGTAATAAGTTGCATAATAAACCCTCAATATCAATTTATGATAGTAACACAGATATATATATATATATATATATATATATACACACACACACACACACACACACACACACACACAAAACAAGCCAAATAGTCCCTTACTGAAAAATAAAAAACATATGAAGAGTTTAAGAACAATTGAGAAGCTGACTTAAGTTTCACTAATTGGGACCAATCAATTAACAGATTTCTCATAATAAGATCCATAACAAGCTTCTCTCTTAGGAGTAAGAAAGATAACATTTAACTATTTAATTTCAGGAGGTATTGCAAGGTAACTTCCAGGGACAGGCCATTCCCTCCGTGCAGCTAATGTAACTGGATTATTTTCAGACATGGGCAAGTACAGTGGTTTCATACTCAGTGCCACGAAAGCATCATGAAGCCAGAAAGGGCCTGGCTTCCCTGAGAAGGCTGAAGAAGGTAAACATTTTCTATGAGGCACAGACTAATAACTAGAAAATCTCCTCTGATTCTGAATGTAACAAAGGTTGAAGTAACTTACAGAATTATGACTTGACTTTAAAGGAGTCAGGTTTACTTAGTACTTGCTGTGCACAGGCACTAGTTACCTAGTGGTCGATACAGATAAAGTTTCTCCTTTAGCCCATAGAAAAACCCTTGGTTTTCTTATTACCTCCGGGTCCTTCTGTTAGTTCCTTTCCTACCTCATCATCTAAGACTCGACCCTTTTTCTTCTTCTCTGTCTAATTCAATCTCACAGCTTGAGAAACCACCTAAGCACAGAGATCAACTCTGAAATTCTCACCACTAGTCCAAACCTTCCCCTGGCCTCAGAATCCTGTCCCATCACAGTCCCTACAAGCTGAAAGCCTCACTCCCTCCACAAGCCCCGCGTCCAATCCAACAGCACATCACCAGTGAATCTTTCCTGCAGAAGTTTGTCACTCTTGCTGCTCCAATCATTTCCTTTGGAAATACCCCAACTTGTGTTTGCAGTCTTTGAGAAGCCATCTCCCTCTCCCAGGCACGCTGTGCTGTGGGGTGTGAGGCAGACCCGTGCCTCTGTGCACACAGACTCACTTTTCCTCAGCGCAAACTCTTCGTCCGAAGGCTTCCGCTCTGGTTTACGCTTAGGTAGCAACTTTTTCATGGTCTTGGGACTCTTACTAAGATCCTAAGGGGGAAAAAAGAGAGAAAAAATGCTGACAATTTCCAGCGGCAGTAATTTTTACTGACATATCAGTAAGGGTCATCATAAAGGTGTAAAATATTAAATCACCATAGCCATTCACTGTTAAAAGTTTCCTACTTTTCTCATATTTTGATTCTTTTGCCAGCAGCGGAGCATTAATTTAAAGTCAATACCAGGACAATAGCTGATAAAAAACCCTCATGATACTTGGGTCCGTCAGCACTGTCACACACAGCAGAGAGGAGGCAGGCAGCCCCTGGAGAGAAAAGGACAGCTGGCTGGCGTGTGCACAGAGATCCATGCACGCTACTAATTCTGGCACAGAGCCATCAACTAGAAAGAGATGAGAAAACTAAGGCTGTTTTTTAAATTTTTAATTTGAGAGGCAGAGAGAGAGAAACATCAACTTGTTGTTCCACCTATTTATGTACTCACTGGCTGATTCTCGTATATGCCTTGACAGGAGATAGAACCCATTAACCTTGGCTTATTGGGAAAACACTCTCATCAATTGAGCTACCTGGCCAAGGCCCAGGGCTACTTTTATTATTGTCATTAATCCTCACCTGAATATATTTTTCCATTGATTTTTTTTTCTTTTTTTGAGTGAGGGAAAGAGAGAAAAACATCAATGTGAGAGAGACACATTGATTGGTTGCCTCCAGCATGCACCCTAACCAGAGCCAGGGATCGAGTCTGCAATCATGGTACGTTCCCTTGATTGGAATCAAACTGGGACCCTTCAGTCCCTGGGCCAGTGCTCAATACTCTGAGCCAAACTGACTAGGGCCCCGGGGCTATATTTAAAGAAAGGCTAAGTAAAAAAAATGAGACCCTTAGGAAAATATTTGAAGCCTTAGGGAGAAGAAAATGGATTAAGATAGATCATCCTATCAGCCTTGAGCACAGATGGAAAGAGATGAGACAGGGCTCTCTAGGGCATGTTAACACTAGTTCAGAGCTATGTTCATGATGTAATGGTCCACCTCTCACCTCTACAACACAACTTCACAAACTGTGCAGAAGATGAAGGTGAAAAACTGAGAGCAGGAAGAAATCCAATGGAGTGAGCTTAATTGTCAAGTATGTATTAAATTATCAGTATCATTTAAGTTATATAAAGCATTTGTGAATCTTACAATGAGAAACCAAGACTCTGAAGGTGACATGTGGTATGGGATGAGTCAGATAAAAGCACAGAGGGAACAAAGCTTGATGTTTAAAGGTATCTCTTCAAAATATTTTCCGTAAAAATATACATTTAAAAACTCTTAAAAACGCAGCAGAAATGAGCTCACAGAGAAATAAACATGGCATGTGTTCAGTGGCTTCCATACTCAAAGCAGACATGAGACTCCTGGCGGCGCACCAGACAAGGCACCCACCACACGTGCAGAGGGCACAAATCCACACACATCGTGCACCCAACTCCTCAACACAGGCAAGGCTGGCTGCTCCACTTTTTGCCATACTCAGTAAGATTTCTTTTCACTGAATGTGTGAGGTGCTCAGTAATACTGTACAATACCTAAGGGTGTGAACCCTCTCCTACAGCATGGGGTCCAGCAAAGCAACTGTAGCCAGACTTACCCACACCAGAGGCTCAGGTTCACTGCCACACCTCTTCCCTTGCCTTTCTGTTCCTTTGCTTAACACTTTTATCCCAATTTTCTTCCTCAATAATGAAATCTCCACCAGTGCTTACCTGCACTACCTGTAATCACTAAACTAGGTAATAAATAAAGATCATCAACATTCTTTAAGGAACTGCCCATGATGAGACATTTATGACTTGGGCATATAACCCCCATCAACAAGACATTTATCAAAAAATTCAGATTTCATTAAGAACAAAAAATGTAAAGAAATTGTAATAATTTATGTAGCACTTTTCTGGGTGTCTTAAAATTTTTAGAACTGCTAGAGAGGATTAAGGGAGGGTCTGCTCCAGATCTTTGACAAATTCAATCTCTGACTGGATGTGGAGACTCATATCAGGCAATAGTGTTTCACCACGCTCACACTCACATTCACGCTCACACTCACATTAATGATAATCACAATAGTGATAACCACACTCACTCAGAATAACCATAGTCACATGCTCACATAATACATACATGCATTCTCACACTCTACCCGTACTCATACTCAGGCTAATACAATAACCACACTCACGCCCCTACTCACCATCCTCACCTACACTCACGCTCGTTACAACCACACTGACACTCATAATCACATACTCTCCCTCACAGTAACGACACTCATACTCACAGTAACCATATCCACATTCACGATGACCGTACTGCCAACTCACACCCAAGCTCATGCTCATGATAACCATACTCATTCATGCCGCTCACACTCATGATAACCAACTCTCATCATTTCAATTATCTAGCTTCCTCGAGTGCTAACCCTTCTTGGAATGCAATTCTCAAGACCTTTCCTTTCCTCATCAAAGCAGGTTTATTGTATAAAAACCTAGCATGAAAGTGCAGGAAACTGTTAACATTTATGGTTGGGAATCATATTTTAACTGTACAAAATACTGGATTAAAAAGGAAAAAAGCAACATACATGATGACCTCTTCCACAAAGAGAAAAGCTATCTTAACTTTAATTTTTATTTGTAAATGTAGGGTTCCTGGGCAAGATCTCAAACTTGGAAAAGGATCCTAAGAAAGGCACAACAGAAGAGCACGCAGAAACATTGAGCCCCACCACAACTGGAAGCTTAAAGTCATTTCAGACTCAGATAGAGGCACAGAGGAAGCCCATGGAAGCTTCTGATTTCTCAAGGAAGGACCATGGTGAGCACAGAAAAGGCAACGCAGGGCACACAGAAGGCCAATGTTGCACTAACCCACCCACCCCCATGTGGGTCTCCACAGCCTCCCCGGCCGCTAAACAGAAGGAAATGACAAAAAAAGGAAAGGCAGACCCTTCACAGTTCAAAGAAGCTAAGCTGCATTCTTATGTCAGAGGCAGAAATTCATGATTTTCCATTATTTCTGAATTTACTGGAATGAAGCACAGCACAACCAACCTGACATGTCCAAATGTCAGGTCATGCTCATTTTCACTCAGACCTCACCTCCTTGTAGCAGAGAGCAGCTGAGGGCCGGAGGGGAGGTGCGGGTCTCAGACAGCTCAGACTCCATGGCTTCGAGGTCTTCGGAGGCTCCAGGGGCCCCCAGTTGATGGTCGTGTGTGGGGTGCCATGGTGGGAGGGGTGGGGCAGTGTATGGTAGGCAGGCGTCAGTGGCACCGACTTACTGTCTGCATGCTTGCTGGATGGGGTGATTGAATGGGTGGGGAGCTACCCAAGGAAAAAAGAACAAGAAAAAGCAAAAAAAAAAAAAAAAAAACATTCACCATCAAAGAAACCTCAATTAAATACACTTAGTCCACTAATTTTTAAAAATGCACCCCATGAAATTAACCTCCTCCTCCCCCGATTATCATTTCTCCAAGCAGTTAGACTCTGTGATGCCCCAAAGATTCTGCTTCAGGCTGCGGCCAAGCCTGGGTTAGGAGGCAGCAGGATGTTGGGGACCTAAGACCCAGACAACACTCCATCACCACCTTTATTTGCCATGGATTAACATTTGCAAAAAGGTATTTCATTTAAAATATATATATATATATATATCAAAATTTTATTATGTTTTTTATTTTTTATTATTAATATTTTATTGAAATTTTTTTTACACAGAAGGAAGGGAGAGAAAGAGAGAGCTAGAAACATCGATGAGAGAGAAACATCAATCAGTTGCTTCCTGCACATCCCCTACTGGGGATGGGCCCGCAACCAAGGTACATGCCCTTGACCGGAATCGAACATGGACCCTTGAGTCTGCAGGACGACGCTCAATCCCCTGAGCCAAACTGGTTAGGGCTATATATATCAGAATTTTATAAAAGAACAGGGTATACCTCACTAGGAGCAAGATTATGGGGAGGGTAATCCTCCCCAGTCAGCTGTTATTCAGTGCCTGTAATTTAGGAGTGGGCGAAGCTAGGACCTGACCCCAGGTTTTGTTTAATGCAAGAGTGGCACAGCCAGGCCCACCTCTGTTGATAGCTGTTATTGTGTTACAGAGATCATATTGCCTGTAATGCTAAAAATATTTACTTCCTGGTTTCTTAATAGGGAAAAGGTGACACTCATTGGAGTAAAACAAATTATTTTATTAATTTTAATCAATTTCTCAGAAGACATGATCACTGGGATTTATATTACTGGAAAACCCATCACAGGGCAATTAAATGAGAAAATGTTAAATAAATTAATTCAAAATTAGCCAATGACCTCAAATTAACCCAAAGCAATAGGTATACTTAACAGGAGCAAGAGCTGAGTGGTTCTGTGATCTGGAAACCTGTGTGAAGCCATTATTAGAAAGTTCAACAAGCCTAGTCCGTGTGAGTCAGTGATTGAGCATCAACCCAGGAACCAAGCAAGAGGTCACAGTTGGATTCCAGATCAGGGCACATGCCCGGTTACAGGCTTGATCCCCAATAGGTGTATACAGGAGGCAGCCAATCAATGATGCTTTCTCATCACTGATGTTTTTCTTTCTCTCCCCCCTCCCCCCACATCCTTTGCTCCCTTCCTCTCTGAAATCAATAAAAATATTTTTTTTAGCCCTAGCTGGTTTGGCTCAGTGGATACAGCAAAGGCCCTCAGACTGAAGAATCTCAGGTTCGATTCTGGCCAAGGGCATATGCCTGCATTGAGGGCTTGATCTCCAGTGGGGAGCATACAAGAGGCAGCTGATAAATGATTCTCTCTCATCATTGATATTGTTCTCTCTCTCTCTCCCTTCCTCTCCAAAATCAATAAAAAAATATATATTTAAAAAATATATATTTTTTATTGATTTTTTACAGACAGGAAGAGAGAGAGAGAGAGAGAGAGTTAGAAACATAGATGAAAGAGAAACATCGGATCAGCTATCTCCTGTACACCCCTCACTGGGGATATGCCCACAACCAAGGTACATGCCCTTGACCTGAATCGAACCTGGGACCTACAGTCTGCAGGCCGATGCTCTATCCACTGAGCCATACCGGTTTTGGCTAGAAAATATATATTTTTTTAAATTTCTTAAAAAAAAAAAAAAAAAAGCTGAACAATATTTGAAACACATGTTTAAAATAAGAAAACCCTGGCTCTAGCTGATGTTACCATATTTAAGAATAGAAAAACAAACTTTCTGCAGAAACCACAGGCCTGTCCTGGTGTGTGCATCAGTGCTTGTCATTTGTTACACAACTACTATAAATTTTCTTCAAACAAATAATTCACTAAAGAATAAAATTATGCAAAAAAATCCCTTCTAGAAATAATGTAGTAGTAAGTAATATTTGGTGGTGCTTCTCCTTCCTCAAAAAGTCAAGAGGCATGCTTTGTGTTAAAATTAGAATATTATTCAAGCTAGATATGGACAGAACACAGGGAGAACACACAATTCCCCAAAAATAAGCTCCCTAAGAAGACAAATTTCAAAAGCCTGTATGTGAGGAACAGCACCATTCATAGAGTGGGGACTTAAACACACACATACATTCATGCCTTTGGAATAAATTTAGTACCATGAAACCTAAGCATTTTAGTATTTTTTAAAGTTTGGAGAAGTTATAAATGGCAGAGTCATTCAAAATGACATATCAGCTAAAGGAAATGAGCAGTTTTAGCCTCCAAACTGTTGAGAGATTTCGAGTAAGATGTTAATACCATGACCAGAATGCTATGTTACAGCCACCCTTCCTGAGCTAAACCTTTAATGCCAAGGTTAATGAATGCAGAAGTGAACAACATGGGAGGAAACGTCCTGACAAAGATCATAACAATCTAAGGATGTGAGAGAAACCTGTAACTGGAAATGCTATGTAATCATAAGTCATTTGTAAAAAGGTGTGATGACAAATGATGCAATATCTTAAGTGGAAAAAAAAACACAACAATAAAGTTTTTAAAAGTGACACTTTGGCTCAGTGGATAGAGTGTCGGCCTGAAGACTCAAGGGTCCCAGGTTTGATTCCAGTCAATGGCATATACTTTGGTTTATGGGCACATCCCCAGTAGGGGGTGTGCAGGGGGCAGCTGATTGATGTTTCTCTCTCATCGATGTTTCTAACTCACTCTCCCTCTCCCTTCCTCTCTGTAAAAAATAAATAAATAAATAAATAAATAAATAAATAAATAAATAAAATATATTTTTAAAAATAAATAGATAAATAAATAAATAAATGACACCGGTACTGATCTATTTTGAAAGGTTTACACATATCTAAAAAACCAACAAGCTGAGCTGTTGAGCTTTTCTAAATAGAAATAGATTTCTTAAAATCAAAATAATGAGTCAAAAATTACATTTTAATGCCTTCAACATGAATCTGGTCCTTTTCATCATCATAAATATTTATTTTTTGATGAAACAAAATAAATACAGTTAAAGTTCTCAGAAAAAGCACAGTCTTCAAGTTTCAGTTGAAAACCCCAGTACCTTACTCTCTGAGGCCCCTCTGAGCACGGCAGCAGACTCCTGCCCGAGTGCCACTGACTGTATGTGACAAAGCACAACCTAGGGCTGTTTCACAAGTGTGATCACTGTGAAGCCATTCACTACTCAGTGGAAATAAGCAAATATTTGCAGAAGAGTTGAAGGCAAGTATTGTGCGTTCTTGATCCAGATATTGATAATGCTTTAAATTACTTGACCACTTGCTAACAACTCAACTAAAAAGCTGACCCTTTGAGTTTGGAGGCAGAAGTATGGGGTCCTTACAGTATGAGACGGCACAGAATGAGGCTTAATGGGGGGATTGCTGACAGATGTGACTTTCGTTTGCTTCTGTAGATGGTCCACCCATTCATGGAGATCCTGCTGGTTGTTGCATGACACTAATATCCGCTCAATCATGCTCCCTAGAAGAGATGAGAAAAACGGGCTGAAATTGCAAAATTGGTAGAAAGCACACACATACACACACCCAGAGTTTAATTCAACAGCGTTAAACACAGCCCTCTGAAATAATCAAGCAGAATCTGCACACAGATGGTAAGCTGCCTCTCATCACCATGACAAATAGCATCCACAAAGTTTTTGCCTATCACCTGATATTTCAAATGCATTTCTATGATTTTCACTGTCCTCAATCTTTGTGATTGTCATTCCTGTCGTTGGTAGCTTTCCCTAAAAAAGAGCCCCCCCCACAAAAAAAAACACAATTAGTGCTTTTCTAGTAAAGAAGGTACCGTTATTAAATACTAAATAATTTTAGAAATGGCAGAGTAACTGCATTTGTAAACCACAAAAGCTGTCTTTGTTTGTACCAGAAACATATATATAACTTAAAAAAGACTCTATCTCTATCTCAAATAAGTAATCATAATACTATAATCAACAAACTGAGCTCCAATATAAAGGTACAGAGGAGCAAAATAGAACAAAATAAATTCCAACTGATGAGTTACTCTAAACATAAATATGAGGACACAAAAACACTACATATTATGATTAAGAAAAACACATTAGAGTCTATGGTAGCTATGTTAAATGACATGTTTATGGAAAGGAAGCACAGATTTGCCTTATAAAGAAATGTAGAGAAAGTTTCATGTTTGAAGACAAAATAGGGGGAAATTGGGGAGAAACTGTACAAGTTAAACTTGCTTGTCCACCAGACAGAAAGCAAACAGCTGTACTAAGTAAGCACTGCACAAAATGCAGAAAACAGCAGCCAACCTGACCATTTTAAAAATGAAGGACTTGGAGCCAAAACCAGTTTGGCTCAGTGGATAGAGCGTCAGCCTGTGGACTGAAAGGTCCCAGGTTCGATTCTGGTCAAGGGCATGTACCTTGGTTGTGGGCACATCCCCAGAAGGGGGTGTGCAAGAGGCAGCTGATTGATGTTTCTCTCCCATTAATGTTTCTAACTCTCTATCCCTATCTCTTCCTCTTTGTAAAAAAAATCAATAAAATATGTTTTAAAAAAAGAAAAAGAAAAAGGAGGACTTGGGAACCAAAAACAGAAAATGCTACTGGAGAGACACCAGAAAAGGACTGCAAATAGCCAGGCAGGACATTTGGTCCTATCCAAACGTCACCGAGACATCTGGTTCAACCAAAAGGTGCTTGAAACTTGGTCCTGACAAAAAAACAAAAATAAAAAAAAACGGTCCATCCTTAAGAAGACATCATGGGTTCAAACAATCCACAGCACTTATTTTCACATTTGGTTTACAGGATTAATACACAAAAAGTTACCATGTTTTATTGATCCAATGACTGTGTTGTGGTTGTATGGTCAATGACCACCTTTCTTGCCTGAGTAGCCTAGCTGGTCATAGCACATGGAGTTAAGTACATGGGCTGGTGTAGACCAATCGTTTCCATGGATATACTATGGAGACGATTGGTCTACCAAGTTTTTAGGAAAAATCTACCAGTGTCTAGGGTCAAGTCCTGTGAAGGACTCTCTCAGCACCTCCGAAAGTAGTTCTCAGCAAGGTATGGGAGAAGGAAGGACTGTCCTGCAGAGGACACCGGCAAAGTCGGAGAGATGTGGGTGCTCCTGATACCTATAGGGAAGCAGGCAGAAGTGCTGCCGAACATCCTCCTACAGCTCATGCAACTAGAACGATCCAGTCCACTGAGAAAGCCTGTCCTGACGTTCGGTAGGTGACATTAACCAGCACTTGGTAATTGATCAAACGAAGGACTTGTATACATGCATATAAGTACAACCAATGTTCATAAAACTCTGGGGAGGGAGGGGATGGGTGGGAGGGAGGAAGGGGGGTAAAAAAAAAATCAATAAAATATGTAAAAAAATAAATAAATAACCAGCACTTGGTCCTCCTAGGGTCAGATGAATTTGAAAAATGCTATATACTGCACACTCCTTTACAAGATTCATAATGCACAGAAGTGTATTAGTAGCTTTGAGAAGTCCTACAGAAATAAAGCTGTGAGACTGCTTTTAACCTAGTAAATCAACAGCAAGGAACAGAATGTTCCAGTTACTGCTAGATTTAATGCTTTTTAATGACTCTCAAAGCCAGAAATAAATATTCACAATACATAGGTCACAGCTCTCAGAGAGGGACACCTCCCAGGAAACTGTGCAGAGTGGGAAAACAGGTCCTACATGTGGCATGAGGTCTCCCGTGACACATCAATGCCAACATCCAGAGCCAACTCACCAGCCTGGTCATCCAGAGGGGCCTGGCCTGACCCAAAGGAAAACTTCTGCTTCCTCAGGTCAGAGGAGGGCCCCACCTCAGTCTCATGTATAAAGCCACAGAGAGCTGACAAGAAAGGACTCTGCTTTATGTTTATCAGGGTCACCTAACAAAGCAGGAGCTGCCAGTTTGAGGGAACCCAAGTAGCTGCTATATCTAAACATCTGCTCAGAAACAGACTTACAAATCAAGAGGTATTGTTTTTCTGGGTTTGTCCATATAGATTTGCTTTATCAACTTATCTTGCACCTCAGGATCTGTGTCCTTAGAGACAGTTCTGTAAGTTTCATTTGTTTCCTTTTTTTTTGCTTTGGATTAAATACCAGGATGTTTTACACAGACAGGAGATGTATGCACATATTTGAATGTGTAACATTATACACATAACACTACACACAACACATAAATAGGAACAGCTACTATTTAAGGAAAATATTAAAAATATGCCTGAAAATGATTCTCAGATACACAATAAAAAGTAAATTTAAAAAGTGTTTTACCTGATAGATAAAACCACTCATCCTGGGACTGGCAGACAACATTAGCAAAATATTTGGGAAGAGTAGAAGATATCTTTCGTTCTTTTCCTAATATAAAAGAATAAACAAATTCAAAAATATATTTATAGAAGTGAGAACAAATATTTAAATTAAATCTTCTGAAACATTATATTGTATTTTCCATTTAGGTATTTCTACCAAATTAATTAGGTAAATTAAATGGAAACAAAATTAGAATCATTATTAGACTCACAAGAAGCCCATGTAACATCTTTTTTTAAAATTTGCTTAAGGGATCTAGCTCTGCCATTAACTCTTTTTAATTAGTCTAAAATTTTATTTTTGTGATTGAGGAAAAAACCAACAAAAGAACTTGTAAAACTTTAGTGGGAGGAGAGGAAATAGATGGACCCCTCATACTAAAAAGTGGGTAAAATAAAACGTTAAAATCAATTTTCATCTATTAATAATTGCTGGCACTTGCCTACAACTCCTGATATATCAATTTAATGTTGTTTGCATTCATCACGTAAACTTATTCTAGTGTATATGAAAGGCTTAAAAGCATTATTTATGTGTTAAAAATCATTCATTTCCATAAGGTAAGTAAAAGCCCCAGATACCACAACTAAAGGACCAAAATTCCCAGAACCTAAAAGGAGACACACAAGGAATGTGCAGATAGCCTTTGTCACAAGTTGCTATCTAACCACTGCCCACAAAAGCGAAATGCTACTAGGAAGCAGTGTCTCCAAGTAGATTTCAGAACACCAGCCACATGTAAAGTGCCTTGAAAAAGACATTCTATACTCTAAAGAAGTTTTTGAAAAGTACTTAATTATATTCCCCTCCTTTTTCTATTTCCTTTTTTTTGTTAATCCTCACGGGAGGATTTTTTCCCCATTGATTTTTACAGAAAGTGGAATAGAGGGAGGGAAAGAGGGATATTATTATCTTTTCAGTCATCATTATAACTTTAAATCTTTTTTGTGTGTGAATGTTTTCTAGATCTAATATTATAAAGAAAACACTGAGAAATGTTTCTATAGATTTTTAAAGTAAAATTTAAAAGTGCATAACTAAAAAACAAGAATTAAGAACTGAGGGGGTTTTTTGTTTGTTTTTAATCAGTGTAGTCTATTAGAAAGTCATGATTTCTTATGATACCCAAATTAACACCTAGTGAGCTGATATCATTTTCGAATTTCATAGGCAGGAAGGAATGTGCATTGTGAGTACAAGTTCCACTTTTCTTACTGTCCTAAGAATTCCATGTTAGAAATGGATAATTAACATATTTTGATCCTGATGGTAATTTTTTACAAAGATAGAATAGAATTAAAGAGATACTAGCTTGGTGATCCAATGAACATGTAACTTGTGAATACTGAAATACAAACTGTGTGGGGATAGCACAAGGATCTGGTATCATCTTTCACTTAAACCAAACCTGTAAGATAACTGTGATTCCCATAAGCAAATGCCAATTAGTATTAGATGACAGAAAAGTATAATGATCTAACCATTGAAAGTAGTACATTTCCTGGAATGGCAGTGTTGGTAAGAAGTCCATGGCCAAAAGCACATACTTCTCTATGGCAGACGTTTGCCAAACTGGACTACTAACAAGGCATCGAAAATCCTCTCTGGACACCATCTCTTAGTTGACACTGATACAGACTTTGATCATAACTGCTCCTGGCTGTATTTTAACTGGTCAGGTAGTCCATAGCCAGCTAAGCCTTGCTAACATACTGGAAATCAATTTTATATTTGGCAAGGACAAAAAGTAGACAGACTTTTTATTTTTACAAGCTAGGAGTCCTATTAAAATGTTGTCATCATTTGTTAGTCATTTAAAATACTGTATTACACAATCATCAAAACATAACATTCTAAAGTATAATCTTGACTGTCACTAAGAAAACTTAAAAAGCATTTATAAAACATAAATAGCGTTTAATGCAAATTATGTTCAACTCTTAATTTTTATCTGAGACATTTTAATGATTTCAGGGAAAACAACCAAGAAACTAGAATAAGAACAAAGTCCAACAGCACATGGCTGGTGTGTCCCTTCCATGGCATGTGTTTCTTCCACCGCTGTTCCCATCCACTCTCTGCACACTTGCATGACAGTACCTCACTTCCGGCACACTGAATCATGACCTGGGACATGTAAATGACATTGCCCAGGGTCTTAATGTCATCTCCCTCCCAGCTCCGGATGGCTTCATTCAGGATCTGCAACTCCAGCTCTTTCCTTTTCCGTACATCTTGACACTGGGCCTAGAAGACAGTAAAACACTATTAAAAGAGACAAACTTCCAGAATTGTAAGTTTTGGCCATACTGCTTTGTATCTTACTTCTTCTTTAAGACAGGTAATCTACTAAACAATGTGTTTAATTCACAAGCATGGAATCAAGTCCAGAAAGGCAAACCTTTGAAATAAGAAACACTGTTTTAGAAAAATATAGCATATTTTGGCACTTATAGAAGAAAAAATGAAGACTGGACAAGAAAAACTTTTTCTGATTTTTATTAATATTTGCCAACATAGAAGACTAAGAGGGGGAAAAAATAAGTATCATTTATGCTATAAATAAGGTGTGTATCTCAGAAACACAGTCAATAAGACAGTAGACAAAAAATAAAATAGAACAACCAGTATTTCATTTCATACTCTATCACTAAAGACAATGACTGGATGAAGGCTAAAACTGGATGTGTAAGTCATTTTCAGGTAGCTAATGCATCAATTATGTGGAGTCTTTAAAAAGTTTAAACAATTATTTCATTGTTCTAGTCTCCAATTTATCAGCCATGGAATAACAACTATGTATGTTCATTTTTATTTTACCAGAGTAAACCTTAATTATACTTCACATGTAATTTTTAAAAAATATATTTTATTGATTTTTTTACAGAGAGGAAGAGAGAGGGATAGAGAGTTAGAAACATCGATGAGAGAGAATCATCGATCAGCTGGCTCTTGCACACCCCCTACTGGGGATGTGCCTGCAACCAAAGTACAGGCCCTTGACCAGCATTGAACCTGGGACCCTTCAGTCCGCAGGCTGACGTTCTATCCACTGAGCCAAACCGGTTTTGGCAACACAGAATTTTTTTTATCATCTAACTTTTTTAACTGATAAACATTTTTCTACATTCATTTGCTATAATACTATGTAAGAAAAAAACACTCAATATGCTTAATCACTTACTGAAAGGTTTTTGAAGGCAGTCATGGATTTTTGAATATCTTGTCTATCCGGATGATAATCCTGTGAGTAAAAGAAACACACCATTAGCTTTCATAATGAAAAACTTTTTCTTAAAAAGACATTCTCTATAGACTCTACTGAATCTTCCAATACTTTTTCAACCTGTAATATGTCCTATTTTTCCCAGCATTAAAGTGCCACCTCTTTTAAGGGAATCATGGAGCCAGTGGCCTTAAGGGAAACAATCCATTTGGAAGAGAGAAGCCAAGAGTTGGAGCTGGAATCAGGAGAGCAACATCTGCTGTGGTGAATGCAGACAGCACAAGCCACACCCACTCCTAACACTTGGCATCTGCTGCTTTGGCAGCAGCGAGCAGTTGTGGAGAAGACCGATGGCCTGCCCTTGACAAGAAAAGCTCACCAAACCCTAGCCAATAGTTCACCAAACCCAAATTTCTGCAAGGCTCACAGCCTGTTTTTCAGAAATAAGATAAATACTTTAATTAAATGATGCTTTTACATTATATTATTCAACTTATAATTTAATGATTGTAGTTAATGTTCCTGCTAGGGCTCTTCAATGCTATTAGCATTTTCTACCTTTCGAAACTTTTTCTGTCAGCAGCAGTGGGTGAAAAAGGAGATAAAGGAGCTGGGGAAAGGAGAAAAAATTTAATACTTAACAAAGAAAAATACACTGAATTAAAAAACCTTGGTAAACTCTTTGTTGATTCCAAAATAAATCATTAATAATTTCTTTTACAGTGGCTCATGGGTTCCAGTGACAAACATGTGATAAGCAGTACCTCCATGTGTCTCTCGAGCTCCTTGAGCAGAGTGGGGTACTTATCCAGGCGCATGAACGGTTTGCTGAGGCCAGTGGTCAGCACGAGAATCCCCGGACTGTTGGCACCTTTCATCTCCATGAACTCTCCCAACTCCTCACTAGGCAACACGCCACCAGCAATGAAAGAATAAGACACTGCTGTTAGGAGTTCACCATGGTGACACTCCCTTATACCCACTAGCAAAAATATGACAGCATACCATTACTATTGTTAAGACTATAGCTTTTCTAACCAAACATGTGTTGGTTATTTCAAAACACCAAAGGAAACCTCAAAAGGTTCATGTTACATCTCTCGTTATGAATCAAAACAATTGTGCATAATATAGAATACATGTAGTCATCTATGCAATTCTACTCAAGAAAGGTCATTTCAGCAAGCCAATTTCATACAGAAGGGTCAAATGTAAGCGTGCAGTCTTAGAGCTAAAAGAGTTTCCAATTATATGGGAACTTCAAGATGGTAAAAACTGTAAGAGGGGAAAAATGCTTTAAAACTATAATAACCTGAATCAGAATGTTAACACTCCAGTTGCTTATCAATCCACCAAACATGCCCTGAACATCGACTGCAACCTAAAGCATTTGTGAGAGCAACGAGTGTTACATTCAGAGTGCACAATATAGCACAATAAGATAATTAATATTTACTTAAGTTTTAAATTTTCAAAAGTATTTCCACATCAGTATTTCATCTAATTTGTACATTATGCAAAGAAAGTTGTCCCCATTTAGTGTCAAGGAAGCTGACTATATCTTCAGGAATCTAAAAAGCTTACAAAGAAGTTTGTTAATATTTTACTACTCTTTTACCATTAACTTCACTATTATTTGTGTATCTTTTACAATCAACAATGCCCCCCTGAGCCCTGTAGAAATCATACACACACTGAATCAGACATCCAATTCAGCAGTCCTGGGTTCAGAGAGACCCAGAATGGCGAGGAGTGCAGAGGGAGTCAACCTCTGTCACTGACACATTTATGACTCGTATCAGTGGCAGAAACTCTGCATTTATGTCTCTCCAATGCAGGACAAATGATGTTTAGGATCCATGTGAGGACCTGGATCTGTGTTCCTCACTGTGCTGCACATGTCATTCCAGACATGGGAAACTGAGGGATAGACAGGCTGGGAGAAAAGAAGGCACCAGATCAGGTCACCCACTGGGAAGAGAAGAGAACGAACTCTGAGTTTCCATGACACCTATTAGGAAGAGCATTATAAATGAAGCCATAAAATAAAAATGCTAAAGAATAACTGAACAGCTGAAACTGGTTTGGCTCAGTGGATAGAGCATCGGCCTGCGGACTGAAAGGTCCTGGGTTCGATTCCGGTCAAGGGCATGTACCTTGGTTGTGGGCACATCCCCAGTAGAGGGTGTGCAAGAAGCAGCTGATCGATGATTCTCTCTCATCGATGTTTCTAACTCTCTTTCCCTCTCTCTTCCTCTCTGTAAAAAAAAAAAAAAATCAATGAAATATATTTAAAAAAAAAAAAAAAAAAAAGAATAACAACACATTTGTCCTCAATGTAGGTTACTTGAATCTGACCACTGGAACCCAGCTGCTGCCTCACTTCCTCCATCCCTCCCCTACCCAGGTATAATCGGTCCCCTGCCCAAACTTCTTAGGACCAGTATCCACTCCAAGGGCTCCTGACAAAATTTAGGATAATTTGAAAATGCCAGCTCAAAAGTGGTGAATATAACACTTTCCTATGGTTCAACCTAAAAGGACTTCATTGTGAGGTGTGAGAGCAAGAGCTGGTACTCCCCACCTCTTATCGCATCCTCAACTGACCGCAATGATGCACCTACGGGAGAAATCATCTTACTTAACTAAACCAACTTAGATACATAAGGTTTCAAATATAAACTTGAAAACAAATTAATTAATCACTAGGAAATTAGCCTTACTTTGCTTAAGCACTTAAGACCTCTTTACAAGACTACTATCTAAATTCAGGTTTGTGAAAACTCGGGAGACTCGGTTAAGCAAGCAAAGTACATTGCATTTAAAATCAAAGTGCAGCCCGGTCGGTGTGGCTCAGTGGTTGAGCTTCGACCTATGAACCAGGAGGTCATGGTTCCATTCCCGGTCAGGACACATCCTGGGGTTGCAGTCTCAATCCCCAGTGTGGGGTGTGAAGGAGGCAGACAATCAATGATTCTCCCTCATCATTAATGTTTCTACTTCCCTCTCCCTCTCCCTTTCTCTCTGAAATCAATAAAAATCCTACCTAATAAAAGAGTAATATGCAAATTGACCGTCACTCCAACACACAAGATGGTTGCCCCCATGTGGACACAAGATGGCCACCACAAGATGGCCAGCAGGGGAGTGCAGTTGGAAGGGACCAGGGCTGCAAAGGAGGGCAGTTATGGGTGATCAGGCCAGCAGGAGAGGAGAGTTGGGAGGGACCAGGTCTGCAAGGGAGGGCAGTTGTGGGTGATCAGGCCAGCAGGGGAGGACAGTTGGAAGGGATCAGGCCTGCAAGGGAGGGCAGCTGGAGGTGGGGGGACACACAGGCCTGCAGGGGAGAGCAGTTGGGGGGGGGGGGGGGGACCAGGCCTGTAAGGAAGGGCTGTTAGGGGTGATCAGGCCTGCAGGGGAGGGCAGTTGGGAGGGACCAGACCAGCAAGGTAGGGCAATTAGGGGTGACCAGACCTGCAGGGGAGCAGTTAGGCATCCATCAGGCTTGCAGGGGAGTGGTTAGGGCAGTGGTTGGCAAATCATGGCTCGTGAGCGACATGTGGCTCTTTGGCCCCTTGAGTGTGGCTCTTCCACAAAATAACATGTGTAGGCGCACACGTACAGTGTGACTGAAACTTCGTGGCCCATGTGCAGAAGTTGGTTTTTGGCCTGGGCAAGTCTATTTTGAAGAAGTAGCATTAGAACACTCAAGGGGTCAAAGAGTCACATGTGGCTCACGAACCGTGACTTGACGGCCACTGGGTTAGAGGGTGTTCAGGCCGGCAGGCAGAAGTAGCCAGGGGCAATCAGGAAGGAAGGCAGGGAAGCAGTTGGGAGCCAGCAGTCCTGGATTGTGAGAGGGATGTCAAACTGCTCATTTAGGCCCGATCCCGGAAGGATCGGACCTAAACAGGCAGTTGGACATCCCTCGAGGGGTCCCAGATTAAAGAGGGTGCAGGCTCAGCTGAGGCACGCCCCCCCCCCCCCCCCCCCCGTGCACAAATTGCATGCACCGGGCCTCTAGTGTTCAATAAATCAATAAAATCAGAGTGTATTCCTGGACTGCATAAAAAATACAGTAATAGCTGAAACTGGTTTGGCTCAATGGATAGAGCGTCGGCTTGGGGACTGAAGGGTCCCGGGTTCGATTCCGGTCAAGGGCATGTACCTTGGTTGCGGGCATATCCCCAGTAGGGGGTGTGCAAGAGGCAGCTGATCGATGACACTCGCCCATTGATGTTTCTAACTCTCTATCTCTCTCCCTTCCACTCTGTACAAAATCAATAAAATATATATATATATTTTTTTTTAAAAATACAGTAATAATGTTAATAGTGCCAGCTATCTATCTACCAATCTTATCTATACATACATGTTTTTAATATGAACTTTTAAAATAAATACACACATTTATTTAAATAAATATATAATTTAGGAGATATTAAAAAATCAAAGCACACTATAAAAAAGTGAAAATATAATCCTAGCTATAAAAACTTAACACATATAATAAACATTTTCTCATTTCTGTAAGAAATAAGGTTTCATGATTATTTCCTTCCATTATGACAGCCATCATGTTGATGCAACTTAAAATGTTACCATAGGAGCTGTCAAACTACTTCTAGGATTGTGTGTGTGCCTGCTTTTATAACCAACACACAATTCCGTATCTCTGTGCATATAACTCTGCTTTCTAAGAACGATTTTCCTCAGAAAAACCACAGAGCTAGGATTACTGAATCCAGGAATAGTGATATTTCAGAACCTTGTTGTGATTAGTCTAGTGTTCATCCCAGAGATCGTAGTGATTTAAAAGCTATGAGCAATATCCTGGAGTACCTGTTTGCATAGTTTTATCATCTTGCCTTTTCCCACAAGAGATAGGTGGGTAAGTGAAGAGTGCCCCAAGACTGACTTCAACCTGCTGCCTTCCTCCCACCTCCCCCAGCCCTCTGCTGAGCTCAGGCAGAAGTGAGAGCTGCAGACAGAACAGTCAGGAAAAAGAACAGAGACAAGGGAGTGACACAACGGCACTAGCACTCTGTGCTGGGCATCAGAGCAAATGCTTCTGTGCATGATTCCCGTAAGCATCCCTGGGCCTGTGCCACAGGTATTGTTATGCATGTTTACAGATGAGGACTCCCAGTGAAGAATACTGCCTGTCCCCACTGCCAGCAGGACTGCTGAATCCAAGGGCTTCACACTGTGTCTGGTCTGGCCCCTCTAACCACACCACACTCATGTGCCCTCCCCACACTCCTCATAAATCCTTTCTCAGAAATGCTCCTCTTCAGATCACTCACTCTGTCAACCCCTACAGCATGAGAACAGTAAAATGATGGATTTTAGAAAGAGCAATTTATATTTTATACCCATTTCTCTAAGAATTGAACAATTGATCACGCATAAAACTAAAACTTTATGATACTAGAAGTATATTTCCCCTTCTTTAAATACAATCCATGCATGGCCTATCTACTAGAGGAAAATCACAGAAAAGTCTATTTATGTCACTTTTGATATTTTAGAATTATATTTTTTATTTTATAACTAGTTATAGCAGAGAAATATGAATAAAATTAAGCAAGTTATCCTTATCACCCCACACCCCCACAAAAAAACAACAACAACCCTACAATTTAAAATGTAAGTGAACTTTTGCAAGCAAAAGTAACATCTTTTAATATACATTTTTTGTAATGCCAGAACATGTGCAATTAAGAAACAGAACTTGATAAATCACTGGTACATTTTTTTAGTGTTTTTTTTTTAAATTTAGTATAATAAAATAAAACAGTTGATTACAGCTATTTTGACAAAACAATGGCTCTTTCTACTGATGTGGGCAATCCTTATACAGTGAATCTCCTCTATATTTACTGAAATGACACTGTAGGCTGCAAGAAGGCAACAAAAGGAACACAAATAAGGAGAGCTATCATGTAGTCAAGCAAAAAGTAACAATTAAAGTGCTGGGGGGAGACAAAACTCATTTTACAGACTCAATTATGAAACCCATAATTCATTCAAAATAGGCAACCATGCATACATGATGTCTACTATCGTATGATAATGCAAAAGGTATATATCAGCTATAATTCTAGAATTGGTGGTTCTGTAAATGTATTCACAAATTCACACTCATAATTTAAACTAACCCAATAAGACTGAAAATAAGATTTGAAAATCTCAAAACACTACACTTAAAATCAACCCTTAAAAACATACTCAGGCATAAACATAGGAAAGAAGTTACAAGTTAAGATTCCAGAATGAAAAGTGGTGAACGCTAACAGAAGTTATTAGCAAACTGCGATTGTCATCTCCATTCATGGACTTACGCTTCGGAAGTGCAGTCTGACCTGTGAACAGCGTGGGGACTCTGGCTGCTCAGGGACCTCAGGAGGGCACACAGGCAGTGCATCCTGCTGCGTCCTCTCCGGAGGCTCACTACAGAGCACGACTCCCCCCACCTCCCACCTCTGGGAAAAGCCGCATGGAGGAGGCACAGTTTCCCCACTCAGAAAGGTATCTATTCTTTCCCTGTTATTTTGGGGAAGTGCTACACTTACATTTCAGCTATGACACGGTCATTAAAGTAATAGTACAGAAGAGAGGATAAACAGCAAGCATTTCCTTGAAAGTGTTATTTTAGGAAACTTTAACAGTCTGAAATTTGCTTTAAATGTCTTCCTTAGGGCAAATCTTCACTTTAACGGGAAAAATATTTAGTGAGACTTTTTCCCTATAATTATTCACTCCCACCAAACTTCTGACCCAATCTTAGAGCACTCCCCCCAAAAAGAGTTTAGAGAGCAAAGATAAAAAAGATCATAATTTTGCCCTAGCATTCTATTTGCTTTCTATTTAACTCCCCCATCACTGCATCAATAATTCCTTTAAAATTTTTCAGAAACGGCCGAAACCGGTTTGGCTCAGTGGTAGATTGTCAGTCTGCGGACTGAAGGGTCCCAGGTTTGATTCCGGTCAAGGGCATGTACATTGGTTGCGGGCACATCCCCGGTTGGGGGGGTGCAAAAGGCAGCTGATCGATGTTTCTCTCTCATCGACGTTTCTAGCTCTTTATCTCTCTACCTTCCTCTCTGTAAAAAGTCAATAAAATATATAAATAAAAAAATTTTTTTTTTCAGAAACACAAATTTAATCCTTGCATTTCATTTCTGTAGAAATTTCATTTAATTTTTAATTCCCAGTAGTAGACAGCAAGAGCATAAATGAATGTGTGTTTCGTGGTCTCAGAAAGGTGTGTGCTAACAGCCCACGCTCCTGGAAAGGTGAGGAAGGGTGAGGTGTTGATTGGGTAGGGTTGGGTTCCTTTGGGTTTTTTGTTTCTGTTGGACACTATATATCCTAATCTCTCTTCCTCAACATGTCAAAGACTGCTGCTTCATTTCAGGCATTTATCATGTTCACTCACTTCTGATCAGTTTATACATGTTTTTTGCTTAATGCTTATAATAGCACCATGAAATAGACATTTTTACAGATTTGAGGTGACCTGGGACCACCAGCTTAGAAGGGTTTAAAACGGACACATAAACATTTTTCTAAAACACTTATTAATAATAATCTATGCCTCTTGTGCTAACATCTGCTAACATTCCTCAGTCTTCTTACAATTCTCAGGAAACAGACTGGCCTTGTCTTAACAACCTAGCAGAAAAATCTGTACATTCTGTTTCACATGTTTAATTTTGTTTCAGGTTGCTGGTTGTCTCCAATTTAAGGTTCAATATACCTATAAAACCCAGCCCTGATTTTAAATGAGATACTATTTTTTAAAAAAAACAGAAAATCTAATTGTCTTATGCACTTCCAGTTTTATGGCCTTAGAGAAAACTGATTTGGTACCCTGATCTAGCTTGCAGCTACATTCCAGAATACTTACCAGCAACTTCAAATCATTGTCCAAAGGGCTCTAGACTGAAGAGGAAACTTTCAAAAATAACCTTCCCATTATAAAAATTCTAATAAAGTACTTCTTACCAGTACTTTTCAGACACTAATTTCAAGGGGTAAACATTTTCATTGTTGAATAATCAAGTGAATATTAATATTGTTTTAAAGGGTACCCCAAGAAAACTTTTCCTTTCATGTAAGAAGTCTAAGTGAACACACCTGTGCTCCGTGAGAACATTCACTGCAGATGGGTGATTGGCACAATATGAAAGGTACAAGGTTTTCATTTGTGGCATCAGATTTAAAAAGCAGCCTCCAACTCTCTGCTGAGCTTCAGGCAACCTGGAGACATGCAACACAAAGGAAATAATCCTAAATTTTACAGACAGAAGGAAAATTGCTAAGTAACAAACATTATTTTGAGCAAGGAAGACATCCTTGTGAATCACCTCTATGAAAGCAAACTATCCAAATCCAAGAACATTTCTGTTCAAAGCAGGCATATAGTAGGGAGAATACCTACCTTGAAAGCTGCTCTGCTACAAAACAGTGAACTAAACCCAACCTTTCCTCCAGCATCCAGATATCAGGACCTGTGCACAGCAGAGCTACAGACCCCCAGGTCCAGACTTCTTTGGGCAGTGAGGAAAATACTAGTGGGTCTCAAGAAGCCTCACATTTTGCATGAAGCAAGGAGAATTATAAAATTCCGCCAATGGAAAAAACCCAAAGTGCCAACAGGGCCCAAACCCAATATATGCATCAGCATCAAAGTTCAGGATTCTAGAAACAAAGACACTAAAGGCTTTGAGGGAGAAACATAAGTTTCAAACAAAAGAATCGGGAATTAGAATGGCCCGGGACTTCTCAACAACACTGAATCTTAAACAGTGGATGGAAATAAATTTCAACAATTCTACCTCCATGTATCATAATTAGTATGAACATGGACTAACTGTCTCTATGCACTCTTTCCTTGGGACAGTCCTAGCAAATGAGAGACTGCAGCAACAAGAGAGGAAGACACCTTGTGTCCAACACAGAGGAGGTGAAAGGTAGCTGGCTGATAATCAAGGGAGACCCTGAGACCAGGCAGCATGGCTAGAGGCTCCACTAGGAAGTACCTAGTGCAGGAAAGCCCTTCTAGTTGCTGAGTAAGTTACAGCCCTTTCTATGAGCCTCTTAATAAAGCTGATGAGATCTTTAAATGTTCTCATTTGAATTTTGTTTTCTAACAACATTCATATAAATCTTCGAAATGTAGAAAACAAAACCTAAATAGTGTTTCAAAATACACACACAGTTAGTAAAAGAAGTCTATGGAAATGAGGACACAATTCCAGATAGGAATGGCTTCTCAAAGAAAGAGGGATGTTAGGGTTAGGGTTACACTGGGAACTATTTTTGTAATGTTTTAGTTCTTAAACTGGGAGGTGCTGATTGTATTACTTCTTATGCCTTTGTAGTTTTTTTTTTGTTTTTTTGTTTTTTGTTTTTTTGTGGTTTTTTTTTTTTTTTGTGTGTGTGTGTGTGTGTGTGTGTGTGTGTGTGTGTGTGGTTTTAAAGCCCTAGCCAGTTTGGCTCAGTGGAGAGAGTTTCAGCCTGCAGAAACATATAGGTAAAATTATATACTTAACTAGTGCTTAAGTATACAATTTTACTTATATGTTTCCAAAAATTCTAGTTTAGCACTTCTTAGTTGGGATTCAGGAATCTATAGTTTAACAACTCCACCAGGTGATTCTCATCATGAGAGAAGTTTGGGAAACAATGGCCTAAAGGAATTAGCCACAGTTCTATCTGTAATATATAATCACTGACCTAACAAATAAACTTCGATTATCAATTCAAACACTGGGGACAGTTAAAAAGAATAAGAAATCTTCTCTTCCTTAAAAGTGACTGCAACTTTTTTGGGTAAAATGAAACAAATACAAAAATAAAAGAAATATAAAACAGCCGATGATGCCTCACAAACTGCTGCCAGCCCACAGAGGAGGAAAGCACACACCCTCCAGGAGGAGGCGCCAAGGCCAGCAAGCATCCTTTCCAAATCACCCAAAGACCAGTCACACACACAGAAAGGATGCTGCACCAGAAGATACATCGGACCATCTGCTTTCTACCTGGATCCAGACACCAAAGACACACCTAGTGGTATTTTCAAACTACTACACACTGGTGTTTGAGCAGGTGATGTTCATACTCAGGAGCAAAGTGAAATAGTAAAGCCTGGCTTCCAGAATGGAGAGCTCTAGCAGGGAACCCCAACTACTGAGCTGAGGGGGTTAGAGGTAACTGCAATGAACGGATGACAAAGTTTTATGAACAAGGAAAGAACATTGTTAGAGATGTGCACATGAAAACGATTAAATTATTAAGACTGCATAATAATGCTCAGTGCTGTGCCATATATTGTTATGATTTCACTTCCAACCTGATGCAACAACACAGCCGTTGATACATTCAAAGGAGAACGTACCTAAAATCTAGGCCAATGGATTTTCATTTCTTATATTTCATCAACTAAAATTAAGTCAGTATGGCTTACACATGAACAATTACTTCATTATACAAGGTTTTCTTTCTTTGGCCCCACTGAGCCTGGCCCTAGAGTTTTATGACTTCATTCAACCTAATTTCACAAGAATTCACTATACTCGCCACCACCCTTTCTCCTCTAGCATGCTGCTAATAATGTGGTAGACCCCCTTGGAAGAGGAACAAGAGGGCCAGAGAACAGCCTCATTCGACTCCCATATAAGCCCTTGCATGACCACTCCCTTAAGCATTAAGCCCCCAGGATGAGGTTCTGACTGCATCAAATAATCTTAGGAACAAAGTTTCCGGTATGTTGACCACAGAGGCAGTTTTCCTCCAACTAAAGATAACATCTAGGCCTCGGCTGTGTTTCTGCTTCAGGCCCAGGAAAGCAGCAAAATCAGAGGAAGCAACAAACACCATGGCTGACATCAGGACCAGCTGCAAGAACTAATGATCCTTAGGGCCAACCCATCAGTAGAGTTCATGACCCTGGAAGAACATACCTGGAAAGCTGATGAATATTCTACTGAGATCCTCTCAAGACCTCCCCTTTTAAATTCCTGTCTTTGGAAAACAGCTAAAGCCCCTTAAGACAAAGGACCCAGTACAAGCTGTCCCTCTCTGAGCAGGCTCATCCTTCCCCACTCCCCTTTGTTCCCTCAAAGCACAGCCTTTGCTTTCTTTCTCTTAAGCTCCATTTTTTTTTTTTTTTCTTTTTGCCTCTGTATCTTGTTCCATGAGTCCATGCAGCCCAATGGCTCGCTTCTTCCTCCTCTGTGACTTTCTATATAAGCTATTTGAGTTCTTGGCTCTGAATTCTTTCTTAGTCAAAACTCAAGGACCACGATCTAACATCTGGTGCTATTCACCATTAACCTTCCTTTGCCACCGTGAACTTCTGTTTTTAAATCTATACTGTGAGGACAGTAATATCTGTCCTATTTCACAAGGTTTACATGAGGCTTGCAAGAGGTATTGCCAATGTACTACAGAAATATTAATTTAGTCTACATTATCCATGCCAGTAGCAGGAGAAGCAAACATTTACTTCCATTTTGTACACAATAGGGCTGACCTCTTACAAAAAAAAACCACACTGCTGCCAAATGACCTTCATTTACCAAAAGGAACATTACCCTAGTTATGAACATGTAAGTAATGTAATTTTATGTAAACCAAAAATACTGCAAACAATTACAACAAAAAATGTCAATTTCTGTTGGAGAGCCAGGATTTGGTTACATTGACATTCAGCTTTCCTTACCACATCTTCCAATATGAAGTTCCTCTATGAAACCTTGAAGCCAAAGTTGAGAGAACAAACCTACTTTCTGCATGGCAAACTGTTACCAATTTAAAGAGCTCCTGGCACCCAGGGCAGGCCACTTCCAAGAATGAGAAAGACACATACAAAAAGCTGGAAGGAAAAGCAGATACCAACCAAGAGAAAAAGTTTTCTGGTTCTTCCAGTGGCTACAAAAATAAAGATAATGCAAGAATAAAATGTGTTACCTTTCTTTCTCAGCCCACAAATAAGCATAAATATTACGTCGTGGATTAAAATCTCAAAACTTTTCATGTGCATTATGACTTTAAGTCATCCAACACCCAGCAAGCATTAATATCCTATAATGCCTCATGTTAACAAAGAACATAAAATAATCATAAAAAATCTGATCATCTAGACACACCTGTCCCCTACCCCCGAAAACATAAAATCTTGGAAAAGTGACAAAACCAAGCTTTTAATACCTCCAAACTTCACATTATGTATGTATACTTTACAATTTCTCAGCTTCCTGATGGTCAGGAACAACACATGCTGGAAGAAGACACTGGGAAGACTTGGCCTTCAAGGGTGTGTGCACACATGCCTCCCCAGGCAGTACATGGCAGGATGTAAGGAACTAAGCCATTGGTGCCTTCCACACTCTTTCACAAGCCATCCTCTCTTCAGAGGTTAGGCATCCCCTACTTTTCCCTACCACCTTAAAAAATATCACTCACATGAAATCCTTCTCCTTTCTCTGACTAGTCAGTGTATTCCCTCCTTCAGAAATCATTACTATAAAATTTAGATAATCTAAAATGCAGCTTTAAGTATAAAAGGTAATATAACTAAAATATTCAAAATAATCTATTTTCCGTCTTTGAAAATGCAAATTCTCAAATTATGATAAACTTGTTCCTTTAAATACCATTTATACCAATCCGAATTTTGTAAATTTTAGCATCTTACTTACTTGGTGCATTCTTCTAAAGACTGTACAAGCATTTGCTGGAAAGAACATATTTCTTCTAAATTTCCCATTAAATATGAAGTGTTTGCTGAACTTAACCTAGAGCCAAGAAAAATAACAGTAAAAATACATAAACAGTTTTACTTATAGTCCTCTCCTTTCCCATCCTGATGCCCTATTAAAGTCTTAACCTAATAAACAAATTGCCTATGTCTAAGGCAAACTGTACACTAAATTCTGTGCCAGGACTTCACCCTCTATTTTCTGAAAATACAAGGAAACAGCCTTAGGTGATGACTATTCTACAATTAACATAATTGATCATCTAACTTACTTCTCACTGGTCTGCAACGGCCGTAGATAGGTTGAAAGCACAGTCTGAAGTTCTTTAGAGTATTCATTTTCTGTTTCCAAAATGTTCTGTAGCACCTATAATAAATGATGAATAAATATTACTTGAATTAAGATTTCTAAGTTTTTGAAAGTTCATCACCATTGTTTAATTCACACTGTTGCTTCTATATAATACTAATGTGTTTAATATAATAGATCCCTATGATTAACAACTAAATCCATGTAATTACTATTACCATAGCTATACCACTGACTATCTTACTGCCATGCACACTTGACACAGTATACCTAGAATGAGGCTAGAATAAATTCCTTCATCAGTAAGTAATGCCAAGTCTATAGATAAAAAGGAGAAACTATAAAAGCACAGATGCATGAGTGAATCTCTAAGCACTGTCGCACGAAAGAAACCATTCACAAAAAGCACATCCTGCCTATTCCATTTATAGTAAGTCAAAGAGCAGGCAAAACTCATCTACACTGGCAGAAATTAAAAGGGGGAAAAAGAAGTGTAACAAGGGGGAAAAGGACATGACTTATATTACTCGGGCAATGGACCTGTGTTATATTGTGATTTTGGATAGTTGTTACATAGGCATATACACTTGTCAAAGCTCACTGAACTGCATCCTTAAAATCTATGCATTTTGACATATAATATAAAGTATATTAAAAATATATATATGTATAAAGTTTATTCTTTACATAGCTCTAGGAAATCTAAATTTATTTCTGGGAACTAAAGACCTTCACTAGAGAATATGGTAGACTCAGATCATCCTTCATATGTTTATTAAAAATTAAAGATCTACAGTATAAAACCACCTTTAAATAGCCAGTACAGGCATACCTTGTTTTATTGCACTTCTCTTTATTGCAAGTCACAGGGGTGTTTATCTAACAAACTGAAGGCAAGACCCTCCTCCACCAGTAAAAACATTAGGACTTACTATTGTAATACTTGCTTTATTATATGGTCTGGAACTGAACTCGCAATAATCTCTGAGATATGTCTGTACTTTAAAGATAGCAGATTAACTATAAATTAAATTTTAAGTTAAAATGTTTCCTGGTACCCTATATTAGTGAAGCAAATTTAGCCAAAAAATCACTTACTAGTAACTCCTAAAAACTGAGATATAAAGTGCAAAACAGTTTAACTGAAGCATGAGGCTCTCTTCAATAGTAATCACCAAAAGCAAAGGCTCCTCTTTGGACAAGAGGAGAAGACGCCGAGGTCTACAAGTGGAGCCGGGGTGTGCAGGCTGGCCTGAGACTAATTACCAAGGCTTACTATCTATATTCTTGGCACTAAGCAGGGTGCTCTACAGTCTGAAGTTGTTTAGAATATCACAAAACCTTTTCCTTTTGCAAAGGAAAAAATCGAAGTGGAGAGAGATTAAGCACCTTATACAAAATCAAACAGCTAGTGAAGAGCAGAGCTAGAATGTGAACCTAGATCTCTCTGACAGGACACTGCCCACCACTGCCTTCTCCAGCTATCAGACTAAGGGCAGGAGTCAGGGCTCCTATGGGCCCTGACATGAGTAAAGAAAGTGAAATCCCTTCCTCAACTATCTTTTTATCCCCAGCATCTTCTTTAATCAGGAAATCATATTACATGTATTTTCTGAGGATCTATTATATACACTAACATGTGTTATGTCTTCTAAAACTAACAAATGACCCTAAATTAATCATAGCACACACCAAAAAAAGTACAGAATATGAAGCTTTGAAACACTCAGTTTTCTCCCTTTGATTTTTTATAATAAAAATATGTTTAAACATTTAAGAAAAAAAAGCAATCTTTAAGCTAAAAACTTAAGATTACAGCATTAATAAGTCAATTAATAAATGGATTATTATTCTGTTCACTACTGTTTTCTTGTGTACTCTGAGGAGAGACTACAGTTACTCATGAGTAAATGTAAACCTGATTAAGTAACTTACATACTACACTATTTAATTTGAAGAGAATCAGAGGCTCTTTCACTGTGACACTGAACACTAGTTTCGCCCCTGAATGGGTCTATTCATGGAAGACTGGTGGAGTGAGCCAGAGGGAGGAGGGGCCACTCCAGAGTTCATTCCTTTGTGGGGGAATCTGGGTGCTGATCCTATGATTATAATGTCTTTCTTCGGAGAAATACTCATTAGACACAAATGTCAAAGCACTAGTGGACTGAGAACACAGTGTGACACCAGCCACTGCATCATCAGTGAGTTATACTTAAACCTGATCTTATCCTTCAAAATTAATGTGAAGTAATAAGCCAAATATAATGGGTCACTAAACTAAAAATAAAAATGTCACAGTTATGTACAACAAAAAGTTCTTTTTCAATGTTAAAACAAAGATTAAATACAAATATCAGGAATTATTAGCAACACTGGGTTGAATATTAAAAAACTAAAATTCTATTTTATAAAACAGAACAGTTCCTAGGTGACGTACAAGGAAAACTGTGGGAGAAAACAAGAGCGGAAGAATAAAATAGCATTTCCTCAATGGTAGTATTAAACAGAGCAGACAGCTGTAAAAGCTTCCAAAAGTATCTAGTACCAAAAGCAATCCTCTGCCAAAAAGCTACACCTATTAAGACAGTTCAGTTGGTTCATTTCTGTTACTCATCATAAACATTATCTTCAAATAAGTGCTAAAGACAAGTTCTACAATACTGCCATCCAAATAATCCAAGTTACAATTAGCTTTTCCACCAACGCAGGACCAAGACTTAGCTGACAGCGTCATGTTAACGCTGACTGTCCACTCTGCCAGGCGGCCACACGACCCTCCTCCCTAAGCTCATCAGCACATCTATATACTCCAGTCATCACCTTTCTTCCCTTTCGTGACTTCTGCACACTCTGGCTGCTGCAGGACCCCATGAGACCTAGCAGACAGGTTGCCAAAGCGCCACCACTCGAAGGCAGGATACCAGCGGACGCGTGCAGTTTTCACAGAAAGAGCAGTCTTTACTCCACAGCCGTGAAGAACAACCCAGCCTGAGCTCAGCCAGCATGAGCTCTCCCTGAGGCATAAGGCGTGGAGAACCACGTCCAGCCAAACAATGGTGCCACACAGAAGGAGGACATCAGGCACGCCACACAGACAATCCCTGAACTATCAGCCATTACAGCAAAGCAAAACAAAGGATGCCTGATTTCAGTAACTTGCAGACACACAGAAACTCATTATTACCACCATTAATGGAACACTGAATTTACAAACGAGTTACAACTTTCATTGCAAATCTTTAGATATCAGATGTTTTATTTTATATAACATTGAGTCCTTTAGAAATGAATAAATGATCTACATGTAAGGAAAAAAGAAATAACAGTAATTTTTTAAGATGTGATCCTGATTTTTAAAAAAAAAATTGTCAACATAAACTAAAGCCGAATTTCAAAAACATAAACCTGTTTCATAAGCACAATGGGAAAAACTAAAGAATGACACAACTGTTCTAACCCCTCTCTTACCCACCTAGTTACTCCCTCTCCACACAAAGAAACATAATCACCACATGTTCTCTTTCAACCCAGTCTATTTAAACTGTATTTGGTACTTAAATATTCAAACAGTAAATTTATAAGACAGGATCTGAACAGCAAATAAACTATCAGCCTCTAAGGAAAGGAGAGGAAACTCATTAGTCAACAGAGCCAAATATCAACAGTACAACGATTTAAATTTCTTTTGAGAGATTTCTTTTGAGAGCCAAATTTCTTTTGAGAGCCAAATTTTTTAAACTTAAACTATATAGATAGGTACATTGTTATTAACTTAATTAGGGTCCTCCTAAGTTGGCCTTTGCTAAAAACTCAAGGGGCTAAAGAACCGTATGTGGCTTACGAGCCGCAGTTTGCAGACCACTATGCTAGAGGAAGCAATTCCTACAGTTCCTCCTGGCGCCACAAATCCAGAGGCCAGAGGAACACAGAGGAGCATCCCACTCCTACATCCACTGGCAATTACTGATTTAATGCAGTTTGTTGATCTCTGTGTGTTCTTAATACTTAGTAACATTTACTCTCAAAGAGTTTGGAGGTGCCCATAAAATGTTTTATGTTACTGTACCTACTGAAAGAAGTTAGGTTATTATTATATTGTTATATTTCTAAATGTGGGGATTCACAAGGTCTTGGGATGTTTTTCTTCCAAACCCTAAAGGTTTACTCATATAACTGCTGCAGCAAAAGTGCAGATTCACAATGACATACTGTCACCACAGAAAGCTGGCCTTAGCAAGCAAGCTGATGTGCATGACCGCACCCTCATGTGTGAACAGCTGGCCTTGGGAGCCTGGCAAACCTGGGCACAAATCCTGACTCTGCTACTTCCTACTGGTACTGTACTTGTCTATGGGTCTATCAGCTTTTTTTTACAAAATGGGATACCTTTTACAAGAGTGTCCGCTCCCTGACTTGGGGGAGAAAGGAATCTTATAAACCACTAGTACAGCCTTCCAACCCAAACCTGGAATCCTATTTGGAGTTATTTCTTACATAACTCTTAGTCAAGAGGTCATTATTTTATAAGACAGCCTTTTCCATGGATAACTCAGTTTTTTTCTTCATTCACTGAGCAAATGCTTAGCTCCTACTCTGTGCCAGACTACTGCTACCAACTGAAAACTTTCATATAGATCCTGACGTACATAAAACAAGTTAAGTATATAAAAATAATGGGAGCAAATTTTGTCAAAGACATCAGCAGGCCTCTCACTGTCGATATGAAATGTGGGTGGGATATAAGAAGGGAGGGCAACAGCTCTCTAGGAAAGCCACAGGGAACAAAGCTGCATACCCTTTTATAATACCCAGTGCACATGAGATAATAGACTTTATCATACACAAGCCAGGGCAAAGACATCAGATGTCAAAGAATTGAAAGCAATTTTGATAAAGATGGAGAGAAGCCAAGGGACAAGTAAAATATAATAGCAGCAAATTAAGGCTGAGGTTAGACTGATCAGTGTACACAAACGATGTCAGGTCAGGGGCTTGGTGTTCTCCCAGGCCCAGTATGCAGAGGTTTCAGGCAACTAAAGGAGCAAAGGGGAAAAGATAGAGATACTATTTCTCTGGAGCACAGAAAAGGTCTTGGAAATTTGCCACAGCATTTTATAAAAGATGCACGTCTATTTTGTACATTTATTAAAATTAGTGATTGCTACCTGTTATACAATATTTACAAATGCAAAAGCTGCCCTGACTTTTTATGAATTTGGCATGAATGTAAAGAAAATTATTTGCTCTTCCCATACAAAAAGAATACTGTCATAATAGTTTTAGGTCACAGTGTTCATTCAATAAAGCCTGGAAAATAAAACCATAATGTATTATTGAACATGTAAGGTCATAAGAATCTGTAACTTCCCAGATCGACATATTTAAGGGATCTTGTTCTCTAATGAATGAAGAAATTCCTGATTCCTTACAAGAGGTGACTCAAGACCTCTCCCTCTCAAGAGGTGGGCATCAGCTTGTACAACAGCAGTGCTCTCTCTCATCTCTATCAGGAAAAGTGTCTTACCATCCTGCAGGTGCAGTTTATGTTCTTTTATTGTCAAAATCCATCAATTTCAATTGGCAGGTGTGGTGTGGCTCAGTTGGTTGAGCATTGTCCCCTGTACTAAACGGTCACTGGTTTGATTCTAAGTTAGAGCACGTGCTCAGGTTACAGGTTAGATCCCTGGTCAGGGTGCGTGCAGGAGACAGCCAATTAATGTTTCTCTCTCTTCCCCCTGCTTTCTTCCTCTCTAAAAAATAAAAATCACATTTAAAAAATACCCCGGTTAGAGGGTATTATTTTTTAAATCCATCAGTCTCAGGCATATCACAAACATTTTCTTTAATTATATATGATCCTGTTGTCCTTGACTACAGCTCTCCAAGGCAATCCTTACAAGTCCAGGTCAACCGAAAAAGTTTGAAGACAAATAATTACAAGCATTATTGGATAAAGATGCATGTCAAACTCAAAATCAACTTGCAGGAACATTTAATGCGAGCAATGGCAACAGGTGGCAGAGCACAGAACATGGCGGGCATTGGCCGCAGCAGGATGGTGGAGCAGGTGAGCTGGGGCGCCAGACTAAGGCAGGCGCCAGTTGCTGTCATCAAGGTGAGCCTCTGCTGGTTACTAAAAATTCTTTGCTCCCACGTGCCACAATCCTGCCCAGTGCTCACACCTGCTGCCAGTGCCCGGCCCTGATCACTCAGTGCCATCAGCAGGTGCAAGTGGCAGCTGCTGGCCCCGATTGCCCCTCAGCGCTTCTCTACCTCCCCCTGCTCCTGAAGGGTGATCAGGGCCAGCGACCACTGCTCACACTGCTGCCAGCACCAGAGCAACCACTCGCACCTATTGCCGCACTGACCCCACTTGCACCTGCAGCCAGTGCCAGAGCCACTGCTCACACCTGCTGCTGGTGCCCAATGTAGGTCTCAATCACTCAGTGCCATCAGTGGGTGCGAGCAGCAGCTGCCGGCCCTAATCACTGCTGGGGGCTTCTTTATCTCTCCCTCCTTCTGAGGTGCAATGGGGGATACAGCTGCCACTCACATCCACTGACAACACCAGCTCCACTTGCACCTGCTGCTGGCACCAGTCCTAATCACTCCGTGCCATCTGTGGATGCAAGTGGGGCCAGCTCCCTCAATGCATGGAAACAGCGTTGGCGGGAGCAGGGCTGATGGCAGACAGGAGACCAGGGCTGCAGCGGGAGGGGCCAGATGGAGGCATGGAGAATGTGCCAAGACCCACCTCTGTGCCCACTGCAGCCTCACGGCCCTCAGTTTCTTTCAAGGTGCACAAATTTGTGCACTTGACCCCTAGTCTATATAATAAAAGCCTAAGTGATTGTTACAGCAGAAAAACCAGAACTAGACCTATGATGCGCACTGACCACCAGGGGGCAATGCTCAATGCAGGAGCTGCTCCCTGATAGTCAGAACATCCCATAGAGGGAGCGCAGCTCAGTCAGAAGCCGGGCTCACGGTGAGTGTAACAGCAGTGGCTAAGGAACACTGAACCAAAGGGTAAGGAGCAGAGAGCAGGCAGGTGGTAAGGACTGAGGGGTCCTGGACTGCGAAAGGGTTGTACGATTGTCAGCTGTTCCCCACAGGGTCCAGGACTGTAAGAGAGAACAGGCCAGGCTGAGGACTAGGCTACCCCACCCCCACACACATTTCGTATACTGGACCTCTAGTTTCTTAATAACAGTACAAAAAAATGATACACTCATTGTAAAAGGGCTGCTGCAAAGAAAGACTAATCAGTTATTTATTTCACTTCAAAAATTCAAAGGTCTCATGGCCTCCAATTTATGTATCCCCTAGTCAAGAAAAAAACAATATTGGAAGGGGGGGGGGGGGGGGACAACTAAATAAGTGCATACTTTCCACAGAATTCAAAACATAACCTCAATTTAAAAGTTTACTTTACTGGTTTATCATACCAAGTAGTTATATAATAGCAATGTAAAATTTTATCCAAATAAAGATTATCATTTCCTATTTTCTGTACCATATGCAATTGTATAGGGTCAAAGAAGGTTTGGATTAGATAGATTTAATACCACAGATATCTTTAAGCTTACTAAGTGTTCATAACAAGTTTTAAAATGCAATAGTTTTAGGATTCTAAAACACTTGTCTTTACTATGTTAAGATATAAAGAAACTATATTGATCTAAAATACAGCCTTACACCAAATATAAGTATAATGGCATTCAATACACATAAAAATTTTAAATAATTATATGTCTTTTTAAATTCTCATTTTTGAAGACTTGTAATGGTATGGGGATATAATTACAATACCAAGTTACGTGACAAGAATAAAGTACAATTGCATAGAGCAGTGGTCGGTAAACCATGGCTTGCAAACCACATGCGGCTCTTTGGCCCCTTGAATGTGGCTCTTCCACAAAATACCATGGCCTGGGCGAGTATATTTTGAAGAAGTGGTGTTAGAAGAAGTTTAAATTTTAAAATTTTGGCTCTCAAAAGAAATTTCAATCATTGTACTACTGATATTTGGCTCTGTTGACTAACAAGTTTGCCGACCACTGGCAAAGAGGATTAGGAGGAAATATGCCAAAACATTAATTATAGTTATATGTGTGGGACAGATAGTGATTTTTATTTTTATATCCTTATCATATTCTCAGTAGTTCACCTATATTCTATAATACTGAGTTTTAGAGACATTAAAAAAACAAAGTATTATTAAAAACTGTTTTGCAATTACTTACCACATTATAATAGCTTTTGTTAATGGCAGTAGTATCAAATCCTTTTGGAGGGCTCTTCAATGTTCCAGATTTCGGAGACACGGGCTTTTCTGAAACAAAAATGTAATGTAGTTTTACTGATCAAAACTAGAGACAACCAAATGCACCAGCCCCCACATAGCCCAACATGACTGGTCCAGCAACCTCAATTGAAATAAACCAAAAAGGGGAAGCTGAACAGAAGGCCTGCACGCCTCCGTGGGGCACCACAGTGCTTGCATCTCCTCATGCTAAACAACCTGACCTCAGAGAGCTGAGTAAAGGTAAAATATTACCCATGCAGAATTAGAGAAAATGTTGGCAGATAGTTCACAAAAATTTTCTCTGATTTTGTTTGGAGAGACTTTTGCATTCTGAGTGATCAGAATCCCTGAAATATAATCTAGAATGTGGGTTTTGATGCTTTAAGTTGGCAGATATTTCACAAAATTAAAGCATCAAAACCCACATTCTAGATTATATTTCAGGGATTCTGATCACTCAGAATGCAAAAGTCTCTCTAAACAATATGGTCTGCCTCAAGGTGATAAAGAAGAAAAAAGGCCACCCAAATTGGGGGGGAGGGGTAAGAGGGAGGGAAGACAGAAAAAAACACACTGAGTTAAGAACTTCCACACACGCCAAACCGGTTTGGCTCAATGGAGAGAGCGTCTGCCTGCGGACTGAAAGGTCCCAGGTTCGATTCCGGTCAAGGGCATGTACCTTGGTTGCGGGCACATCCCCAGTAGGGGGTGTGCAAGAGGCAACTGATCGATGTTTCTAACTCTCTATCCCTCTCTCCTCCTCTCTGCAAAAAATCAATAAAATGTTTAAAAAAAAAAAAAAAAAAAAAAAAAAAAAACTTCCACACACAAGTGACAATAATGAAAGCTACCATAAATACTGTAAGGATTCAAATATTTTTAAATTGCATGGTTTTTATTCATCATATATTCAAGAGAAATTAAGCACAGTTGGTACTAAAGAAGTGCTTTCTGATAACGTAGCTCTCAGAATGTGTGTTTGTGTGTGTGTGTGTGTGTGTGTGTGTGTGTATGTGAGTGTATCACCGGTTCTATGGGGACAAGTGTGTCTAACATTATTTCTATGTGTAGGTTTATCTATCTTTGGTTCTATGGGGTGGGTGTGTCTGATAGCAAAAAAATGATACAATCCACTATTACTGAGAGGTGAGGAAATGGTGAGAACATAATTTAGTACTACCTTTCCAGTGGCCAACTAAAGAAACAGGTTTTCCTTTTCTTATAATAAACTGTACGAATGCTGAAAACAACAGAACACAGATATGATAAAAGAAAAAGAGAGTGGGGACTCCCTAGGGCAGTGGTCGGCAAACTCATTCGTCAACAGAGCCAAATATCAACAGTATAATTGAAATTTCTTTTGAAAGCCAAATTTTTTAAATTTAAACTTCTTCTAACGCCACTTCTTCAAAATAGACTCGCCCAGGCCAAAGAGTCGTATGTGGCTCACGAACCGTAAGTGGCTCGGGAACCGCGGTGTGCTGACCATTGCCCTAGGGGATGAAAAGCACTGGCACTGATAGGAAGGGGCCTGTGGAGGGTGAGGAAAGGTGGATCCAGGGGCTAGCGTGCAACCAATGCAGGAATAAGACAGCCCTGGTGCAATCTGAGCAGAGTAGAATGGGGTGGATCTCTTGGTGACCTGCATGACTGATGAAAAGACTAGAAGCTTCTATTCAAGCCTCTTCTCTGCTGGTCCAGAGGAACAGCAAGGAAGTATGCTGGCTATTCCGGGATTGGATATACAACCATTTAGAACCTGACCCTGCCAAAGTGTATCTCAAATCTACACCATACTCCTGCAGGAACACCAGGAGTTGCCTGGTGCAAGAAAATCTTTGGGCGCCTCTGAGGAAGCAAATGTTACTCCTTTCTGCAGGAATACTTCTGCAACCCATAGTATAAAGATATCCCACCCAACCATCACCCATCCCACACCAAAGAAGGGTGAGGGCTAGAGAAAACACTTATTTCCAGCAATGCAAAACACACACACACACACACACACACACACACACACACACACACACACACACGGTTCTGTGTTACCTTTGTTTCTTTCCCTGCACAGAAAATATTTATATCAAACACTGTTCTTTCAGTTAAATTAATAATTGTGTCCAACAGCTTGCACTTTATGTCACTTTTTGATGTCAAAAATAAACAGAAAATATTAAGAATGACAAACTTAGGAAGTGGCAGTGTGACTGCTTATTAAAGATCTGTGGATCAGCAAATGACAGTCACACATTTAATTAAGTTCTCACATCACTGCCAAACAGGTTATTACTCATCATCTCAAGCTAACCAGCACCGAAGGTAAGTTGTTGTTTCTTTTAAAGACAGCCTTTACTGTACAGATAATGAGCTACCTAGAAATGGGAGAAATTACTGCATCAGAAAAAAATGGGAAAAAACCTGGTAATGTTTATGCACACATGAAACTGTACTTGTGAGAATATAGAACATGATTTGTTCTCCCCACCATTTTAGCCCTCAGTGGAATTCTTTTTCCAACTGCACACACCTCATCACACTGCCCACTAATGACCGAGAGCCTCCATGTTTACTTAATAACAGCAACAAGCAATGGTCAAACCAGCCCTGTTGCTTCTCTTTCCTTCCATCTCCTTTGAATTTAAAGATTCTCTACTGTTTGTGTGTATAAAATTCAGTAGATATCCATGGATTTTACATTAAAAAAAAATGTGTACAGAAAATAAATGCTAAGTACAGATTCAGGAAGAATACACAATGCATTTGCAGCAAGCATTAGAAACATCTTTATGCAGACTCTTTGAGATATTTGTCTTTAAAAGAGGAACAATTTCAAAAAGAAACCACAATTAGGTCAAAGGTACAAATACATGAAACTTGACCAGAACACTGCTATCTCTCACCACAAGAGGGCAAACAATCATGGCTTTTTATACTTTCCCGAGGTGGAAGAGAGAAATGGGACAAGCTTGAGAACTTACCTGGACATACAGAGCCCAAAAAGTATCACTTAAAGGTAGACCTCTGTTTTGTTTATTCAATAAAATATTTGTAAACTAAATCAAAACAAAAACTCACAACTTAAAGGAAGTCAGTGCTTTTGTTTCATAAGAAAATGATCATAACAAGATCACCAGTTAGAGGAATCTGTATGGTTAAGACCTGGCACACTTTGATTACAGAAAATGAAGCATTAAATATACTGTAAGTTACAATGCTTACATAATACACACTTTAAAAAATCCCATTTCAAAATCAAAAAGTCATGTAAATTACTGAAAAGATGCAATACGGAAATGTTAAGTGATCCTAGCATTTTATTCTTAACTGTTATAAAGTGATATGGTAAAATGATTTGCTTTTGCTTATTTCTCTCTCAGATGCCAACATTTAAAATGAGATGGGGATAACTTTATTTTGAATTTACTCAGGTAATTTGAAAACACTAGGGATAAGAAGTTATTCCCAAAAGAAATTATTCCTTTGGTTCAACTGTAACATAAACCTGTGGTCGCCAACCTTTTGGACCTCACAGACCACAATGGCAACCTCTGACATAAAGAATAATTAGCATAATAGGTTGTCAATATTACTTTATTTTTACCTTAAAAATAAACAGAAAATGTTTCCAAAGTTACTTGCATATTGCAAACTAGGGAGTCCAGGTGACAGCCACCAAGAGCTCTTGAACAACAAATGCAGTTACATACACTTGTTTAAGAGGGTCTCTCTCTCTCCCCCTCATACATCCCCCTACACACACACACACACACACACACACACACACACACACACACACACACACACGGAAACCCAGGGTTAAAATAAGATGAGAATTTCAGGCAGAACAAAGTGCTGCAGTTACTTCCAACATAAATAAACATTATAAGTATGTAATGGCTGGATCTTCTTAGGGTTGCATCTGTGAAACCAACTACAGTTAACCCTTAAATAACAGGAGGTTGAACTGCAAGGATCCACTTTTGTATGGTTTTTTTTCTTCTTCAATAAATACTGTAAATATATATTTTCTTAATAACATTTTCTTTCCTCTACCTTACTTTATACATATAAAATCTGTGTCAATCAACTGCTTAGGTTATCAGTAAGGCTTCCTCACTTGGATTTTCAGCTGAGAGCAGAAGTTGGCACCCCTAATCCCTATGTTGCTCAAGGGTGAATTGTATTACCAAGAGATTTTAATGACATTCAAATAAATTTGAAAACAACTTCCAGAATTCACCTGAAGAGAACTTTGAGACCCACTCTAACTCTATCTTTCCTAATTTGCTAAGGTTAACTTTGAAAACTCCATGAGGAGAAATATCTGAAAAGTTCATTCCTTTGTATTTTTTACTATCATATCAGAATTCCCATTGAAAAGAGTTATTCATAGCAGAATTCAAGAAAGCCGATTCAGCAGACACTACCCAATCAGTGGGCTCCGCTCCTGATGATGTACCCATTACCAGCTCTGTGACCTCCTAACAGCATAACCAACCAGCTCTGTGACCTCCTGGGTGTGCCCTTTACCAGCTTTGTTCCTCCTGATGCAGTGTCCCATTTCCAGCTCTGTGCCTCCTGATGCAGTGTCCCATTTCCAGCTCTGTGCCCTTCTGATGGTGTGCCCATTACCAGCTCTGTGCCCTCCTGATGGTGTGCCCATTACCAGCTCTGTGCCCTCCTGATGGTGCCCATTACCAGCTCTGTGGCCCCTAAATGGTGCCCATTATCAGCTCTATGACCACCTCATCCTCACTATAAAGGGAAAGACCATCATCCCTCTCACTCCTTGACTCCAGCATCCTCCTGGAAAAGGCCCAAGTGTTGTTCTCTTGTCCCCAGGAGAAACATGATTCACCAGAATGTGAAACTAGCCAAGGAGCTGCTCTCAGATCTGGGCCAGTGCTGCAGCTGTCCCATGGACTGACCAGGTCCAACCAAGTACAGACTAAGTTACATTTCCCAACAGCTGTGCCTATACAGTCAAAATGACATTTCATCCCGATCAACCTGATACCATTACTGCACTCTAAGCTGGTTCTACACTTGAATAGAATAAAAGAATATTATTTATTTATGCCATATGCCCTGGATAGCCCAGCAACAATTGCCTTCTGGGGTTGTGGTGAGGATTGAATGAGGTCACAAATAAAAAGCACTTTATATAATAACTAGCACTTATATAATAACATAATAAGCAACCATAAAATCTTAACTATTGTTAATTTTATTATAATAATGAAAAAATACTCATCATCAACAAACACAGAAAAAAAGTAGGAATGAGATACTATTTCACACCCATTAGGATTGCAATTAAAAAACAAACAAAAAAAAAAACCACACAAATGCTAGAAAGTGTGAGAAATTAGAACCCTTTCGTATTGCTGGTGGGACTATAAAATGAGACAGCTGCTGTGGAAATAGCATGGCTGCTCATCAAAATTTAACACAGAATTACCGTAAGAGCCATAACTCAACCCCTAAGTATATACCCAAGAGAACTGAAAGCAAGGACTCAAAAAGATACCTGTGTTCATAGCAACATTATTCATAATAGCCAATAGGTGAAAACCCACATGTCCAGCAACAGATGAATGGATAAACAAAATGTAGTTGTGAAACAGAAAACAAAATGTAGTTCGTGGCACAAAGCTAAAACCCATGTAATTCCCTTAAGTGATAAGAGCACTAGGAGCATCTTATGTTATACTGAGGTGACTCTCTGGGTCAGTTCCCAGATGGGGCTGGTCACCAAAAAGACCCAGCCATGATTAGAAGCTTGGAATTTTCTGCCCTACCTCTATCCCAGGAAGGGGACAGGGACGGGAGGTTTGAGTTAATGCTCAATGACGTCTGTGTGATGAAGCCTCCATAAAAACCCCAACAGTATGAGGTTCAGAAAGCTTGCAGGTTACTGAATGCATCTACATGCCTGGAGGGTGGCACTCCTTAACTCCACAAGGACAGAAGGTTCTGTGTGCAGGAACCTTCAGGACCTCACCCTATGTGCCACTTCATTTGGCTGTGCATCTGTATCCATTTTATACAACAGATCAGGAAACGTAACTAGCTATCATTTCCCTGAGTTCTGTAAGTCATTCTAACAAAATTTCAAACCCAAGGAGGGGGTTATGGGAACCCTGATTTATTGCCAGTTGGTCAGAAGTCATATAACCCCAATGTGGGGTTACAGTAAAAAAATTACAGCCCAAGGTAATTTATACAAATTCAACTGAATAAAAGCACATTATATGTATATGTATATGTATATGTATATGTATATGTATATGTATATGTATATGTATATATGTGTGTGTGTGTGTATGTGTATGTGTATGTGTATATATATGTGTGTGTGTGTATATATGTGTGTATATATGTGTGAGCACATTCATTTCTTTCTGTTCCTTCTCACCTAAGGAAATGCACTGGTCCATTTTGCCAACACTCCACTTACCACTGGGCTTGATCTCTCGGACGTAGTTGCTGGGGAACCAGCCAGTCCTGCCGTTGTGTGTGCCCTCCCACCAGCCCCCTTCCTCCACTCGAGTGACATGGATGACATCTCCTTTCGTAAAGGAAAGCTCATCTTCATTTGTCTGTTGGAAGTTAAACTTTGCTCTTACTATCAGTTGATTGTTGCTATTATCGGTCATGTCCTAAAAAAGGGAGAAAAGAAGAAAAATTTCATGAAGTACTCTCTAAGTCATTATGGAATAATTATATATTTTACTATTATAAATATAGTATGATTGCCCCTAAACAGCAGAGGAAGGTTTAACTTTGAGAAATTTAAGTTTCCTATCTCCCACAGTGCACCTTGACCATCCACCACCCCATGTCCAGTCCAGGAGGAAACTCTCTTAATGGCCTGAAAGGTCTTATTCCTGTCACTGTATGTCTACATATACACATTTTCATGGACTTACATTATGCATACTTCTCTATAATTTATAAAAAGTTAATACACTGTAGTCATTTTTTCATGAGTACTTATAGTTACTTTAATCTTAACTAACTTTATGGCTAGGCCATAAATTAGTTAATCAATTCTATATTACTGGATTTAAGGTTATTTTGAGTATTTTTTTTTTATTGCAAAACAAAGCTGCATTAAAACTATATGCGCTTCTATCTTTGAACATATCAGTAAATAAATCTATTGTTAAACTCAGGTCACAGAGCATGTATGACATTCCCAATTTTAGTACCTATTTATAAACTGCCATCCAAAAACATTTTACAAAGTTATACCAAGCTACATTCCAACCAACAGTATCTAACCAATACTGAATATTATCAAGTATTTTTATTCTTGCCAACTGGTGGGAAGAAATGGCACCTCACTTCAGTTTGCATTTTTCTCAGAGATTAAGCATTTTTACAGATCTCTCAAGAGTGGAAGACAAAGGCAGACTTGACTAGAGTTTCTTTTTATCTCCATCTATATCCTAGAATGAATAGTGGAGGGACTTGCAATCCAGACACACCATAAGAGCAAACGAGAAAAACAAAATCATGCCCTCCTGGCCCAAGGAGCAGCAAAGGAGCAGCAGGCACTGACAGTGGGTACAGGCACTCAGCCTGCACCTGGGTATCCACAGAGACTGCACAGGACATCCCACATCCCACAGAGAGCACCAGCACTCCACCTTCGTAGGTGATATTAGCAAAAATTAGATAGGGACTCCCAGCCTCCACCCAAACCAAGTGGTAGCAGGCTACCACATCATTAAATATCCTATAATATTTAATTCTTATTTATCTATTTAAATTTTAACTATTACATATATAAATATAAGTACTTATATATTATATTACATATTAACTATTGTGCATTATAAATATATAACAAGGCATCCTCCCCTGCTCCCCTGCACTCCACCCAGTCCCAGGAAACCACCCCGACCCGGAATCTCCTCACATTCCATCCAACCTCAGGAGAGGACTAAGGCAAACTAAGCTGCCACTGGAACCTATAGCCTATCAACCTAGGCCAGAACCACTCACTAAACCAATCAGGGCCGAAGGCTGCTAAGATATAAAATTGAAGTAGGATCCACCATCTCCTACCTAATACATTCTCCAAAGTCTCCAGGAAACAATAAAAAACACCTCATTCCAAGAACATGGAAAATCACAGCTTAAATGAGAAAAGACACTGATACCAATAGCAAGATGAAGCAGATGCTGGGATCATCAGAAAAAGTTTTCATCATCAAAAAGCCTCAAAAATCAATTACAAATTCTCTCAATACAGAAAACAGAAAACCTCAGAAAAGAAACAGAGCTTATAAAATTTACTCAAACTGACAGTGAAAAATGAAAAAAGAGGAGAGCTTCAGGAACTTGTGGGAAATAACAAAGATCTGAGGCTGGTACCATCAGAGTCTTAGAGGGGAAAGAGAACAGCGCTGAAAAGTGGTATAAGAAATACGGTTGAAAGTGTCCCCAATTTGACAGAAGAATCACACATATAGTTTCAAGAAGCTGAGTGAACCACAAATAGGATTAGCCTAAAGAAATATAGACCATATCACCTCACATCACAATTAAACTTTCAGGAAACTAAAAACACACACAAAAAATATTAGTACAGGATAAAAAAGACATCTGTGGATATGCGAGATCTCAAAACCTTTACTTCCCATGCATCCTTTCTCAAGGAGGTAGTGAAAGATGTGCTCCTTCAAAACAGGGGAATTATCCAAGAAAAAAATGATGATTGGGAGAAAGTAGTAGAGAGGACTCAGGTCACAAGGAGTCTGCAGGATGATGATGTAAAAAACCTCAGACAGGGCAGCTGGAAACAGCCTGGCTGATAACCAAGAAACTCAGTGAACCTGAAGATTTCAAGTTCTTTAGGAAGAGGAAGGTGAAAATCCTAACATGTCTGAATGTACAAGAAGAGATTATTAGAAAAAGGCAAAAGACTAGGATTGCAACCTGCAAAAGGTACACAGAGAACTGAACAAACAGGCAATAATTATTCAGTCCAAAAAAGAAAGTGTTGTCATACAAGGAAGAACAGTCACAGCACAGATCATGGCTCCATTATGAGTCTGAGTCTAACAATGTTATAATATACTAAACACTGACCTAACAGAAGCCAACTCATGAGGAAGAAGAACTGGGAAGAATTTATGCAGGAAAGGAGCTCAGAGGCAACAGAAGAGCCCCAATCCCCTCTTACACTGTGGGAAATACACATTAATAACTCTTCCAATTAAAAAAAAAAGTAAGCTTAATATAGATATTTTATTTAGAGACACATAGGCAAATCCATAAAGAATCAAGGGGGGAAATGGAAAGTTGTTGGCTCTACTGATTTTTTTCCTAATACCAAATCTTGGAGAATTAATTGCCTGTTTAGGTACATGTATCACTAAACAAAAAGATACAAAAGATAAAGCATAAACACAGTGTTAAGGCAAATCTTCAAGAAGAGGAGCTGAAAGAATTCCTAAAATATTTATTTATTATTTATCTATTTAAATTTTAACTATTATCCTTATAATAAAAGCATAATATGCAAATCACAGAATGGCAGAACAACAGATCAGTGGGGGGCGAGACCAGCAAGCAGGCAGCACCAGGCAGCCAAGACACAAGCCAGCAGGCAGAGGGAGGGGATGGTAATCAGGGGGCGCTTCCTCTGATTGGCTCACCTGTCACCTCCCACAGAGGGAGCAGGCCTAAGTCATCAGTCGGACATCCCCTGAGGGCTCCCAGACTGCGAGAGGGCACAGGCCAGGCTGAGGGGACTCCCCCACCCGCCGAGTGCACGAATTTTCATGCACTTGGCCTCTAGTCTTATATAATTAAAGGTTAATATGCAAATTGTCCCCTGGACCAAGAGTTCCACTGGAAATTTGACCAGGGGCAGGGACAGGCCAAGAAACTGCTCGTGGCCCCTCTCCCCAGCCAAGCCCACCCCTGATCAATCCTGGGCAGGCCAGCCTGACCCCACCCATGCACGAATTTGTGCACCAGGCCTCTAGTATACTATAAATACTGTTATAAATATGTATATGTTATATTACATATTAACTATTACACATAATAAATATGTAACAGTAACTATTCTAGTTATAAATATTTAATAATTCAAATAATACATTAAATATTATTTAAACATTTAATGCATACTTAATATTTAATACTTAGAATATTTAATGAACAAATATGCCTTTGACATTTGGCAACAAAAACTCTGGCCAACACTATCAACTCAAGCATAATGCTTGCTGGCACACTTGAATGTGAGAAGTGGGATAAAGCTCGCTTGTCCATGTGAAGCTCTCATTTTAAAAAATGGCACATTTTCCTGGTTCAATTTTCCTTGTTCTGAATCAGTGAATCATTATCGGGCTTATGATGCTGTATCAGATTCTCTCTTTCTGCAAACTATTGTCCTCACTCATCAGTTGTTGTCTAATAATCTTCATTATTCTCCTATTTGTGACTTAACCTGGCTTTCGGTAAAAGCACAGCAGCTGATCCTGGTGATCAAGTCCCACAACAGAATACAACACAACAAACAAACCTGCAGAGCAGGCCCCTAAGGAGGTCAAACTGCCCCTGGGTAACCCCACTACTCATCCCATCCACCTCAGCTCAGCAACCAGTACGGAGGCCCGCTCTGCACACAAGTTTGGCCTGACCCAAATTGAGGAGTGGTGACATCTTGTCAGGACCTTATAAATGAGGTAAATTACATTCTCCCAACACTTATGAATTCCCTACACTCAAGGGACAAGTTAAGCAAGCACCACTAATACCTTCTCTGCTTCAGAAAAACACTCCACTATGGAAAAAACAGATGTCTGAGAGAGGAGATGAAAAGGCACAGAGTTGCTGAAACCGGTTTGGCTTAATGGATAGAGCGTCAGCTTGGGTACTGAAGGGTCCCAGGTTCGCTTCCAGTCAAGGACATGTACCTTGGTTGCGGGCATATCCCCAGTAGGGGGTGTGCAAGAGGCAGCTGATCGATGACTCTCTCTCATCGATGTTTCCAACACTCTCTCTCTCCCTTTCTCTCTGTAAAAAAATCAATAAAATATAGTTTTTTTAAAAAAGAAAAAAAGAAAAGGCACGGAGTACGAGCAGCCAGGCTGGATCCATTTAGAATTTCAGACTCCATAAATCCAACCAGCACCTACTACAGAGAAGTATATACAGATTTTTACAATGTTGCTCTAAAGAGTGAGGATTAGAGGGGAAAATGCCGAAGATAGGCTGAAAGGAGGGTGCACCACAAAGAGCTGTTCTCCAAGGACTCTCTACATACCAATTTCAGCCTAACATCACAACAGCTGAGTCAAGAGTGCTCTAGTCACTGTCACTAGTGTCACAGAAATCTGGAAAGAATGTATTTAATCACTACCTATTGCTTTGGAATTTTTTCCTTTCCTTTTTTAAAAAGTTCTCCTGAAACTATACCTTGTCATCTATCTGAGCTCAACATGACACACCACAACAGTCAAAAACATAACAAGCTGAGCAGAAGAGGCCAGTTATAAAATAAGTATATGCTGTGGAATTCCATTTATGTAAAACACAAAACAGGTAAAACTCATCTTTACTATTAGAAATCAGAAAAGAAAAAAAAGTCAACACAAAAAAAATGTCAACTCCCTTTCTTCCTAGTGAAGAGAGAGAGGGGGCTTTAATATATATTAAAAAAAAAAAAAAAAAAGCACAGCAGGAGTATTCACTAGGAGTATTTACCTTGTGTTATTAAAATATTTTTTTAAAAATCAGAACAGCAGATGCCCTTAGGAAAAGCAGACACAACAAAGGCTGGCCAATTTGTCTCTTGATCTGGGTGCTTACACACTGGAAATGTTCAACTTGTACAAATTTATATAGCAGTTTGCTTAGGATAAGCACAGTTTTTATATATATAGATATGTATCTATATCTATATGTGTATATGTATATGTATATGTATATGTATGTTACATGTCAATATAAGTTAATGATGGAAGGAAAATGAAAAGGGAAAAGGTGACCTTCACCACCAGGTAGGGCACACCCTAAGGTACCTCCCTCCTCTGGAAACAGTAATCTATACCCACCACATGCATTCTTAATGGCCTATTTCTGATTCCTATATTCAAAGCACCACCATCAGTATCTCACATCTGAACTTAAGTACTTTGTTTTATCCAATGTTTTGTATTATTCTAATAATCCAGAACTATAATAGGATATCCTGGTGTGCTGCCTTCACAAAAACTCCTCCCTCTTCTCCACTCCCTGAAAGTACCTATAATCTCATTTATAGAAGAAAAGGTTGTTGAGGAGTAAAAGACCCAATTTCTACTCCAATGGTAAATATCTACCAGTCCTGTGCTCTTGGTAAATACTTATCTTAATTTCTCTAAGCTTCAGTTTTCTCATATAGTATTTCATCCTATACAATAAAAGGCTAATATGCAAATGACCTAACGGAGGAACAATCTGAACAACCAAACAAAATTGAACAACCAGTCGCTATGACATGCGCTGACCACCAGGGGGTGTGTGCGGAATATGGCAGACATTGGCCGCAGCGGGATGGTAGAGGTGAGCAGGGGTACCAGACTAAGGCAGAGCGCCGGTTGCTGTCATCAGGGCAAACTTCTGTTGGTTACTGAAAATTCTTTGCTCCTGCCAGTGCCAGCCCCACTCGCGCCTGGTGCCTGGTGCCCGGTGCTGGTCTCAATCACTCTGCGCCATCAGTGGGTGCAAGCGCAGCTACTGGTCCTGATCGCCCCCGAGAGCTTCTCTATCTCACCCTGATCCTGAGGGACAATCAGAGCAGCAGCCACTGCTTGCACCTGCTGCTGGCACCAATCGCTCCGTGCAATGCAATCAGCGGATGCAAGCAGGGCCAGCAGGAGGGGGGCTGCCAGCAGAGAGTGGGCCAGGGGACACAGTGGGAGGGGCTGGGCAGGGGCACAGAGGATGGACCAAGACGCGCCCCTGTGCCTACCACAGCCTTGCAGCCCACAGTTCCTTTCAAGGTGCACAAATTCGTGCACTGGGCCCCTACTCAAATATAAAATACCAGAAATTAGACAATATATTTCAAAAAATATATTTTATTGATTTTTTACAGAGAGGAAGGGAGAGGGATAAAGAGCTAGAAACATCGATGAGAGAAACATCGACCAGCTGCCTCTTGCACACACACCCCCACCAGGGATATGCCCGCAACCAATGTACATGTCCTTGACCGGAATCGAACCTGGGATGGGACATTTCAGTCTGCAGACCAACACTCTATCCACTGGGCCAAATTGGTTTCGATTACCATTACACTCTTAACTTCATGGGGTCACTGTAAGGGTTATTTGAGTCCAAGTAAAGCACCTAGAACAATGTCTGGCACAGAAAAATAACTCAAAGCATGCTGTATTGGACACAAAATCAGAAACAGGATAACAGGACTTCTCTAAGAAGAAAAACAAAGATAAATAGCAATCAGAGTTAGCTTGAGTTCAAAAGTGCAGGAACATGTAAAAACTATGTTCCTTCTTTGGCTTTCAGTTTCTAACATGGATTCGTATACTAAACTCAGATTTCTTTCCCTCTATAAACTACAGCTCTATTTTTATTTTATTTTTTGATCACCAGTTCAATAATATTTCTTTCTCTGTTGAAGTAAATATAAAGATATGGTTCCCTAAAAACTCTACAAGAATTGGCCTCTCTTCAGACTCTGGTTGCAAGATCATTTATGTTTCTAACATAAAAAAAATTTACTAAAATGTTGTATGAAAGCAAGGTCACTAATCAAACTAAACGCCAATCATCCATTAGCTCAAAAGAGGGCTCAGCATTTTTTCACAATGACAACAGGGAACAGCCTCATTCTGCTCAGCTGATGTGATGGTCTCTTTACACATTTTCTCTATTCAGTATTACATTTAATTTTTCCCGTTTCTCAATAACAATTTCACCGTTAATCCTGTATTCTTTGCTAAGAGCCTGTACCTGACAATTTATAAACGGATTTTTCTTCACTTTCCAAGATGACTGTTAGTCTAAGTTTTCCCCCCATCTCAGTACCTCTCATTACAAAGGAGTCCTCCACCTGGCCCACACAGTTCAGTGGCTGAGCATCAGCCTATGAACCAGGAGGTCGGGGTTGGATTCCCATTCAGGGCACATGCCCAGTTTGTGGGCTTGATCCCCAGTGGGGGGCTTGCAGGAGGCAGCCTACCGATGATGCTCTCTCATCACTGACGTTCCTATCTTTCTCTCCCTCTCCCTTCCTCTCTGAAATCAATAAAAATTTATTTTTAGAAAACAAAGGAGTTCCTCCTTCATATACTGCATCCTGACTCAGTTAAACACTCTAATTCATGCATTTATTAAGAGAAAAACTACTCTCAGGTCTTTTTAGCTTGCAGCCATTGGTTCTTCATGAAACTAAATATTTTACAAATATATATTTCTTATTCCTACAGTTCTGTATACTTGTGCATAGCAGATAAGAAAATACTATGCAAGTGACCAGAGAAGTATTTTAAAGCACACATCTCTCTAGATAAACTGATTATGCATCTTAAGATGTAACACCGAAAATAACTAAAGTTCCTCAAAAGCAGTCATTAAGCATTATATCTGAATAATTTGGTGATGAGCAAATGCCAAACCCAAGTAAAAGAACAATGGCGGGGGGTGGGGGAATGTCAAACCACCCCTCACTCTGCAACTCTTGTCAATGGAGGCATGTGCATTGCTCCAGATACACCTACGGACATACTCACTTCCCCACAAATTCCAATTTCAATAACCACCTCCCTCAAACTTACCAAGCTTCGATACTGGCCCTGGAATAATTTTGAAGTCCGACTGTGGGAAGGCTGGGATCCCAGGGAGTCAAAAGACTTTATCCGATGAGATGAGGGCCGGGCACACACAGAATCACTTCCCAGTCCAATGTCTGAAAAGGTCGTGAACGGAGAAAAGAGTGAGCTGAGACGCCTGACGCCATGCACCCTCAGTGCACACCAGACTCTAAACTGGGGCAGCCCCCGAGGGACACACCGCAGACAACAACAAAGCAGGCCATTTATGCAGTACACAAAGCACAGTTTCTGTCTGCCACAGACTTGCCCTCATTGCCAAATCACCTTTCCAGAAATTAATTGGAGATAACTATTTATTAGCTCTTCGCTAGCATAATTTTCAGACTTGTGAAATGTTCTGTAACCTATTTTTAATACTTTCACTTCATCTGGAGGGGGGAAAAATACCCTTACAAATTCAACTATTTTGCAGAGCACCACCCCATACTCATTCCCAATACATCGCACCACATGCCCACTTCTCTAGGATCACTGTCCACAGAAGCAGCAGGAATTATTAAAAAACAAAAGGAAAAGACTTACTTAAAACCAACAAAAAATCCACTTGTAATTTCCAGCTAGAGAACCTTCTGAGATTATTTCCTCAAAATGAAGGCAGCCCAAGCTTCATTCACCTCACCAAGTTGGTGAAAGGATAAAAGGAAACAGCTGTGGCCCTAGCCGGTTTGGCTCAGTAGACAGAGCTTCGGCCTGTGGACCAAAGTGTCCCAGATTCAATTCCAATCAAGGGCACATACCTGGCTGCAGGCTCCTCCCTGGCTCAAGCCCTAGCTGGTCAAGGCTCATGAAGGAGGCAACCAATTGATATGCTTCTCTCACATAGATATTTCTGTCTTTCCATCTCTCTTCCACTCTCCCTAAAAATTAATGCAAAATATCCTCGGGCGAGGATTAACAGTAACAAAAGTAAACAGCTATTACTAGTAAAGTACTTAGTTCTCTCTCTTCATGATTAGACACTCCACACAGGCCAACCAATAAGTAAATGTTAGCAAACCACTTCTTTGAATCTGATTTTTTAAAAAGGAAGCCATGAATAGTTTTCTAAGAAATCACTGTTCTGAGATGCACGTGCCTAGCAATTTCTTAAAGCTACATGGGAACCTTCTGTAAAAATGTCCTTAAACTGATGATCTCCAGGTCTATTTTCCTGGCAGATGTTTGGATTGGCTTACATCAAACATGTCAAACTCGTGGCCCACAACAAGTATTTTTGCGGCCCAGTCAAAATAACAGTATATAAGAAACGTTTTAATAAAAATTTCTTAACTTTTATAATATCCTGTAATACATAATTATCATATTAATAACAAACTCTACATTCATTAATAACTGATTACTATAATCATATTCATTCATTTCCCTTAGGCGCTTTACATGCAGGCACACTAATACTAGTGGCAAATATTTTAGCAGGTGATTGCTATGTCATTATTCTTGGACTGACTTGTTTGGTGTATGCAGCAGAAAATATTTCGCTTTCGGAGAATAAGAAAAATAAGTTTATTTGCATTATGCTTAATTTGTGCAGTTATTCAGTCAAGTTAATGTTCAAAAAATATTAATTTTTATTAAAATATCCTATTATTTTATGTTAACTATTACTCATTTATTTCAGCCCTTTGTATTTATCATGTCTCTATTGAAATAAACCTACGTTCACATGAAAAGTGAAGCTTTTGTTTTTTTGCAGCCCACATAAATTTAAACCTTGTTTATTTGGCCTGTGTTATTCTTTAAGTTTGCATGCTTGGCTTACATCGTGTCTTATAAAATTTGAGTTAGTTGTCAACAACGAAAAGTCTGAAGATGTCAGAGAAAAACCCAAACTTTCAGTTATTCTTGCAGCTCAGGCAGCCCCTAAACAGCCATCCCAGCAAACAAGTGCTGTGAGGGGCACCAGGGACAGTTCCTGAGTACAGAGGGTCTCCAACCCAGGATGGCAGCCCAAAGTATTCTGACTCAGTTCCTCCCAGACACAATGAAGTGAGTACACTCCATCTGAAGGGCAAGGACAAAAATGGGAAGAAATCATGACAAAATAAACTTAAGAGGTCTCTCTGATCAAAAGAGACATATCAAAGTCTAACTTTCTCCCAGAAATCTGTACCTAAAATCTGTAAGAAGGAAAAATAAAAATGACCTTAAAACAAAAGAGCCACTTAATCCTTCTTTTAGATCCACAAGATAGAACTTCTCGGAGCTTGTGGGACAGATATAGCCCATGAAGAATTTGCACAGAATCTCTCCTTGTCTTCACTTTGGTCTGAGAGCCAGAGGAGTATACTGTGTCCCTACCTCCACTCACCCTCTCCATGAGATATGACTGGGGTTCAAACACTGTGAACCGAGTACCCTGAGTATGTACCCTCATAGCCCTCTGAAAACCTTACCAGGTAGGTATTTACTTTAGAGGCCAATTCACTGGCTACTCAATTGTCATGATCACACCTCAAAAAGTCATTAGATCTGCTAATAAATACGAGTTTTAATCAGCCTAATAAAAATCCAGAGGAAGTGCTTCTAACTCCAAGACAGCTTATGAGTGTCGCCACATGAATGAGACATTTCTCCTCTGCTCTATTTTCAGGGAGTAACTACTCTGCCCACAGAAAGGAAAACACCCGATATCCATCTGAGGTCCTAAAACAGAAGATTCTGTTCTAATAAGAAAGGGGAAAAAAAAAAATCCCAGCAAAAGTGACAACCAAAAATGTAATGCAATAGAAGTTTATTTTTTTAATTTTATTAATGCTTATTTGTCTTGCTAAAAGAAAGGGCTTTTGCCCTTTTGTCTTCACACCCCATCAAGTTCAATTAAAAAAAAAAAGATCTTACCTGCTGTTACTTTATTTAAAGTCACTAAGGAACTGAGGACCTTGTTAAAATTCTGCCCCTGGTACAAATCATTTGCATCAAACGTCTGTAAGGAAAAATTAAACAAAATTAATAGAGTCTTGTGTTGGGTGCAGGATAAACCAAGTTTTTGCGAAATGACAGAACCACATGTAGGACTTCCAGGTGAAATCATAAAAATGCAGCACACCCAACTTGAAAAATCAGGACCAGTGAGCTCAGCTTCCAGTCTGGGAGTGGTAGGTCCAACAGAATTCCCTTACAGATACCTAAAACCTGGGCCAGAGACCAACTCCCCAGACTCCTTCATAACCCTGAGTGGAAGCCCTTCCCAGGTTAGGGAGCCAACCTAACCTGGGAAGCACTCCAATCCTTCTCTTTTTAGATTAAGGCAGAGGCCACATGGCAGGCATACTACCAATTTCCTCTCCTAGTCACAGTCAATTCCAAAGCTAACAGCAGCAAAAGAGAAATACAGGCATCAGAATGGATGAGAGGAAAAGGAAGGGAAGATAAAAAGATGCAGTTTCCAGAATGAGAACAGATATGAGGGCAAGGGAGTCCTTGACCTTTGGGAACGAGGGCTGAGGCCCCACCAGAGCTGTCTAATCTGAAATTCCTTCAATCTGAACGGCCTAGAGACAATGGGAAAATGAGATTTTATTGGGGCAAATTAAAATAAACAGAGCTCATTCCCATACACTATCTGAAAGTTACACCACACAAAAATAATTTTCAATAATCAAATAATCCACAACTCTGCCAGAAAAATTATGAAAATATTTCAAAGATGCAAATAACAAAAAGATGTGGTATTTAGTTCCACCAAAATGTAAATTATGTTAACATATTTCCAAGTTTCTCTCAGTGGGACAAAAACAAACATGACTAGATATCCAAGAATGAGTATCAGCACAGGAGGGCCCAGACTTCCTCTCTCCTCATTTGGTCAGTTCCTCTGCCTCCTGGGGCCTGGCAGGACCACCCCCCTTTCCTGCCTCCCAGCCCCAACCTCTTTCCTGGCTAACTCTTACTCATCGGACTTCCCCAGCCTCACTTCCTTCACCAAACTCAATTAGGTCCCCTAACCAGGCCCCGCCAGCACATTCATCACAAAGACAACATCACATTTAATGTGTATAGGCCCCCTCTACTGTAAAGTCTACAAAAGCAGATTTTACAACACCCAAGATCTAGCAAAATGGCCAGCACATAGGAAAACTTTGAGTTATTTGCTGAATGAACAAATGCACCAATCCATCCACCATTTATTTAGCTGCACTAAATGTCTCAATGAGTGCCATTCACATAATGAACAGCTCAGAAGAGCCATTCCAAATCTGAGTAATTATTGCTCTATCTCAAAAATCATCTTCAGTTAATGATCTTCTGCCTTTAATTTGTTGAACATAAACAAACAACAAAATAAAAAAATTCAGAAGTTGGAAAAACTTCAAGAAAGGAAGACATCAAATCACTGAGTCAAGAGAGGAGCTGACAACGCAGCTCACTTTTTCTAAAAGCTGAAAGAGGAAACTAAATGGAACCACAGGACTTAAAAGATATGAATACATCTAAGCATTCTGTATACAAGGACTGATGCCCTATCTCACATAGTTGAAATACAAAATAAAGCTAATTTCATGAAGCCAGATCCTTCCTATAAAAAGAGGAAGCCCTTAGTACAGTCTTAAGAACTATCTTATAATATACAATTTAATTCATTTATTCTGATACTTATTTTTAAAGGAATTCCAAGTCAAATCAGAGCATTATCTAGTCTGACATATCCACCTACATTCTTTTTAAATGGGCTAATTATATATTTTTTAAAGAATTAAAAGTATTAACCTCAGTAGGCCTCATTTCTTTACACATAGAACATGTTACTTGTAAAATGCTGGAGTAGGTGATCTGCACCAGTCTTTCCACTCTAAAGTTATAATTCTAAAGCCTCGGAAATTAAAACTATGGTATTTTACAAAAAGAAATCTACATAAATTGTCTACTAACCTTCATTGTGGTGAAGCAGCAAGTCATTAAACCCAGAAAAACAGGATGTTGAATACTGAAGTTTCCTGTTATTCCAGAACTATATATCTTTCTTATTTGGATACCAGGAAGCGTCTGGTTGGCTAAAACTGCCCACCAATGGGGTTCAATGTGACGTCAGAAATTAAGCGAATTCACATATATTCACATTTCTTAACAGGAAACTACACAATGAAATGAGACAAATGCTTACCACTAAGAGGAAAATAATGCATATTCTGAGTCAATAAAACGTTTTGACTAAAAAGTGCTTCTCCAGACAAAGATAACAGACTATTTCCTGAAATACTAATCTATTGTACAAAAAGCAAAACCAGAAAAATCTTAGGGCACTGAGAAAGTGTACTATGAGAACAAGAGGAAAGTCTCATTAGAACTTTTATAGAAATAGCTCTGCAAAAATAGATCAGCCTATATCTGAGAATAACCAGAACATTTAGCACACTAAATTATTTCCTGGGTCACTTGGTGCTTAAGGAGATAAAAACCCTGGGAGGCTGGCCCACGTCATGACCTAACCACTGATGCTCTAAGCGCAGCACACTCTGACCTCTGGCTGGAATATGGGGCAAGCTGGAAGGAGAGAAACACACACAGTGGTTCATTTTCTTCAGGTGGTATTGGGAGTGATTATCAGGAGGGGCTCCCCTGGAACTTTTCTAAACCAAGACTACTTTACAAAATCAAGCCACATCTCAGACCAATTTAATTAGAGTCTCTAGGGAAGAGACCCAGGTTAATGCTCTCCTGGTGGTTTTGAGCAACCAAGGGTGAGAAGCACCTCCCTGGAGAGATGAGGAAAGTGTCCTGAATCCTCTCTGTAGGCAGGCCCACACCTCACCCCTGTCCCTTATTAAGCACAGTAAGAAGGGAACAAACAATAGCCCACAGATCTTAGAATCCACCCAGTTGAAAAAGTATATTAACTAAAAACTCACCCTCCTTTTCACATTTAAGTGAATTTCTGATAAGTGTGCAGTAGAATGATCCAATATTTTCAACAACAAAAATAATCTAATTAATATTCCAACCAAAAAACTCATACTATTAAATACATTAGAGTTTATTTTTAATATTTTATTTTTAATAGATGCAGATTCCAGAATGAGAACAGGTACGGGGGCAAGGGAGTCCTTAACCCTCCAGAAGAGGACTGAGGCCCGACCAGAGCTGTCTAATCTGAAATTCCTTCAATCTGAGTGGCCTACATAATGAAATACAACAAATACAAACCATATAGAAATCAGGATAGAAGAGGCCCAAATATTAAAATACTTTTAAGAATAAAAATATGTTTTAAGAATTCTCTCAAAGAGAGACAGGGCTGAACATGACAAGGCATGCAGTGAGGAGGAGGCAATACTGTTCTGTGAGGACAGATAACCTTTCTGAACTTGAAGGCTGCCCCCTGCTGGTTATTGCCTTACACACTTACTGAAGCCCTCTGGGCCTCAGATTGCTCATCCTTAAAATGGGAAGGAGGAACAAAGAAGATACTAAAATCACAATAATGATGATAGGTAGCAGCAATGTGCAAATGCTTCGCATGTTCAAAAAGGATAATTATTTTTTTTAAACAGTGTGAATCTTGCACACCAAGCCTCAAGGTCTCTTGTAAAAACCTATCAAAAATTACATCCTACCAAGGAAAACTCTTATTTTCTAAAATACAAACAACTACAAGAAAAAAAGTTTCCTTGATTGCTGTAGGTGCTCATAAACATCTTAAAGACCATCCAGAAAAAGGACCACAAGTCTCAACACCACATGCTACACACGCCACACATACACACACACACACACACACACACACACACTCTGCAGCATACAAATCACACTGTACACACCAAACATGAACACTGCTTTTGTAGCACATACACACACACCACAGAATGTACACAATGCAAGTGCACACTGCTTCTGCAGCACACACCACAGCATGTGCTGCACACTATACACATGCACATTGCTTCTGCAGTATACACCATAGCACATGCTGCACACACTATAAACAAGCAGACATTGCTTCTGCAGCACACCCTACACACTGCACAGGCAAAACAGGCACACACCAAACACTGCACACGTTGCTTCTACAACACATATACTACACCATATAGCACAGCACATGCAATCACTGGTGCCAACTTCCACTAATGCACATCAATATCAGCAAGAGTCCAGCTCATACTCCCAACAGATTGCCTTACTCCCTATCAACTTGCTAAGGTTCCCATCTAGAATTCCTACCCAAGCTGCTGCTTCTGACACATACTCCTCATCCCCATACTCACCTTTCAGCCTCAAGGCTCATGAGGGGAAATACAAACACCAACATGAAAGAGGAAGGACAGCCCTACCAGCATGTACTCCAGGTCTGCTCAACACTGTGGATGTGATGATGCCTGCTGCCCATCACCAAAGCAGCTGCCCCCATTTGGGAATGCTTCTGTAGAACTATCACTCCCCTCACTGTCTGCTGGACACTGAATTATCCAAAGCCTTCTCCCACTATTAACTCTCAGAGTAGGAATCATGGCAGACCTCACCAGAGCCCATTTTTATCAGAGCCCATTTTTATAACAGCCCATTTTAAAATACGATCACAAAATCCAAGCAGCCCTATCAGTGGGGGTGCCAGAAAAAGGTTGTACCTTTTTCTACAAAAAAAAAAAAAAAAAAAAAAAAAAAAAAAAAAGCAGGAAATGAACTATTTTAAAGGGAAAAGTTCTAAAATCCAAGTTATGAAAGTGTAATCTACAAGAATAATTATAGGCAGGTATTTTAAAAGAAACATGCAAGTATAGACATAGCAGAATCACCCCAAAATTAACAACTTCCTTTATCAGGGAAAAGAACCAAATACCAAAAAGTTTCTATATAATAAATAAGCCAAAAACTTATTCTCCTTGTGTCAATTAAAGCAGGGCATTGCTATACCCTTCCTTAAAGTATCAGAATAAATGCTATTCTTTTTCTTCAGAGGCCTGTCTCAATTCCCAGTTCAGACAGGGA